GAACTCTGGAAATTAATAATTTAAGAATCTGAACAAGAAATACAGATGCAAGATTTACCAACAGAAGATAAGCCGTGGAAAGGAGAATGCCAGGCAGTGGAGATACAATAGAAGAAATATATATGGTGGTCAAAGAAAATGTTAAATCTAATACCCTCTTTATACAAAAGATCCAGGAAAATTTGGAAACCATGAAAAGATGAAACATAAGAATAGTAGGAATAGAAGGAAAAGAAATGGAACTCAAAGACTCATAAAATGTTTTCAAAAAATCATAGAAGAAGCTATTCTTATCCTAAAGAAGGATCTGTCTATAAAGGTACAAGAAGCATAAAGAACAGCAATATCACAGGACAAAATGAGAATGCCCCCTCACCACATAATAAGCAAAACAATAAATATACAGAATAAAGAATATTTAAAACTTCAAGGGTAAATGACCAAGTACGTATAAAAGCAGACCTATTTGAATTGCACCTAAGTTCTATAATCAAGAAGTACCTGGAGAGATATTATGCCCATTGTAAGAGAACAAAGAGGTCGGCCCAGAACACCATACCCAGCAAGCATTCAATCACCCCAGATAGAGAATATAAAAAAACTCCATGAAAATGTCAAATTTAAACATTAACTCTGTACAAATACAGCACTATAGAAGGCAGCAGAAGAAAAATTCCAAACTAAGGAGGTTAAATACACACATGAAAATACAGAGAGTAAATAATCTCACACTAGCAAAATCAAGAGAAGGCAAGCACACATACACAAGACACACACTGCAACAAACAGCAACACCAATAACAAAATAAAAGAATCAACAATCATTGGTCACTGATATCTGTAAGTATCACTGGACACAACCCCCTCCAAAAAGAGATATTAACAAGATAGATACAAAAACAATATTCTATATTCTGCTATATCCAAGAAACACACCGCAACATCAAGGATAAATATTACCTCAGGGTAAAGGGCAGAAAAAGAATATTCCAAGACAATGGACCTAAGAAGAAAAATGGTATAGACAATTGAATAACTAATAAAATAGAATTCAAACCAAAATAAATCAAAAGAGATAGTTATGGACACAACATACTTATCAAGTAAAAGTACACTAAGATGTCATTTCAATTTTTAATGTCTATGTCCCAAACACAAGGGCCACAAAACTTGTAAAAGAAACACTACTACAGCTTAAATCACATTGTGACCCTCACACACTGCTAGTGGGAGACTTCAATACTCCATTCTCACCAAAGGACAGATAATCCAGAGAAGTAAACAAAAAAGAATATACTTTCCTCTCTACACATTATGGAACTTTCTCAAAGGTAGACAAAATATTCATGCAGGAAATAGGTCTCAACAGATACAAAATAAATTAAAATAACCCCCGTATCCGATCACACAACCACACATTAAAGCTGGTTATCAGCAACAACACAAAAATTGCAAACTCAGGGAAACTAAACAGATCTCTAGTGAATGAAAAATTAGCCAAGATAAAATAAAGAAATTAAAGACTTCCTAGAATTCAATGAGGTAAGTGCCTAAATAAAAAAATTGTGGTGAGAACTCAATCTAGCATCTTAACAGCACACCTAGAAGCTCTTGAATACAGAGAAGTAAGCAAACCCAAGATGGACAAGTGTCAAGAAATAATGAAACTGAGGACTAAAATCAATAAAGTAGAAACAGAGAATGACACAAAGAATCAATGGAATAAAGAATAAATTATTTAAGAAAAGTCAAGAAGATAGACAAACCATTATCCAAATTGAATAAAATGTAGAAAATTAACATAAAAGCTAACAAAATTATAAATAACAGGCACTGACTAAATACAGAGACATACATAAAGACATACTTGAAAATCTATACTCCATCAAATTGGAAAATTTAAAAGAACCAGATAATTTCCTTCATAGTACCACTTTTGAAAGTTAAATCAAAAAGGAGAGAAAAGGATGGGGGAGGAGAATATGGAGGAGCAGGAAAATTGATTTGGCGGAAGAATAGAAAAGAATAGGCAAAAAGATACCATAATAGAGGGAGCCATTATAGGATTAAAGAGAAATCTCACACTAGGGAAATGTCCAGAGACCAACAAGGATGACTCCAACTAACAATATAAGCAACAGTGGAGAGACTACCATTAATGCCCTTCCTTGATAATGAGATTGATGACTACCATATATGCCATTCTAGAGCCCTCACCCAGTAGCTGATGAAAGCAGAAGCAGACACCCACAGCTAAACACTGAGCTAAACTTCAGGAATCCAGTTGCAGAGAGGGAGAAATGATGAGCGAAGGGGTCAAGACCAGGATGCAGAAATGCCCAGAGACAGCTGGCCTGAACAAGGGGGCAGCTCTTGGACACCAGAGTGATAGCTGGGAAATCAGAATAGGACTGACCCAGATGCCCTGAACCTGGATCGAAGTTAGAAGGCCTGAACAGTCTAAAGGACCTCTGAACCTGGTGCAGGAACAGAATTCAGGAAATAACAATGGACACCTAGGAAATACAGAGACTCTTCAGGTCATACTTTGAAAACACATATTCCACAAAATTAGAGAATTTAAAGGATATGAACAAATTTCTGGACAGATATCACTTATCAAATCAAGTACACATATTTAATTTAAATATATTTATAACCCTAATGAAATAGAAACAGTGAACAAAAGTCTACCATCCAAAATAAATAATAGGTACAGATGGCTTCAGTGCAGAATTCTACCATAAAGTCAAAGAATGGCTAATACCAATATTCCTCAATTTTTTCCACACAATAGAATCAGAAGGTTCATTGTCTGAGGCTACAATTATCTTGGTATGCATGCCATGCAAAGACACAACTAAGAAAGAGAATTACATACCAATATCCCTCATGAACATTGATGCAAAAATACTCAATAAAATATTGGAAATTTAAATCCAAGAACAAATCAGAGAAATCATCCACCATGACCAAGTAAGCTTCATCCAGGGATGCAGAGATGGTTCAGCACAAGAAAATCTATCAATGTAATACACCATATAAACAAACTGAAAAAAAAACCCATGAGCATCTCACTAGATGCTGAAACAGCCATTGACAAAATCCAACACCCTTTCATGATAAAGGTCTTAGAGAGATCAGGGATAACAGGAACATACCTAAACTTAATAAACACAATATATAGCAAACCAACATCCAACATCAAACTAAATGGAGAAAAACTCAATGTGATGCCTCTAAAATCAGGAACAAGACATGGCTATTCACTCTATCAATATGTCTTCAATATTGTACTTGAAGTTCTAGCTAGAGACTCCCAAAATAACATAAATAATTGCTATGGTCCTTAGTTTGCTCCCAGAACTTGAAACCAAGTAACTATTCCTGAAGAGACTGCTAGAGGAATATAGCTGGATCTGACTAGGAAGTCTCTTCTCCCTGAGGAGTAGCTCTCGATGTAATGAAAGATGCTATGACAGCTACTAAGGAGAAAAGTAACAAATAACTGTACACCGAGAAAAAGCCTACTAACCACAAAAATGACTACACCAGTGTGACATTCCCAATGGTGCAATAGTGGCATTATTTTCACAGAGGTAACCAACAATTGTCTAATTGGACTTAAGGTAGGTTCAGCAGGAAATAATTCCTGCTGGGAATTGCAAACCTACACAATTACACATGGCAAGAGAGGTCATAGAACCTAGAAGTAAACCTATAAGTGCTATTTTCCTAAGCCAATATAATGTCTAACTATATTTTGAATACATATCCTTATACCTACAGATGAGTACAACTTTCACCCCTCATCAAAAAATCTTCATTTTGCAGCAGATGTAGGCAACTAAAATGAGTCCCAAGTAGTCAAAATCCAGAGAATAAGTGACCATGTGACGATGGTGTGCCACTCTCCCAATTGGTCCATCTACAATGCCACCACAATACCTAAAGCTCAAGTAATATTGTATAAGAGGGGATGAAAAGATTTTAAGTATCATATAACAAGTGTGGCTGCTGAATAGTGTCTTCTAGACATGACAATTTTTATCCACAACATCTTAAACAATATGGTTGCCTAGACAAGACCCACACAATGACAACACTTGCAGACATGTCAAGGTAGATGGAAGGGCAACTATTACTGTTTTCACTTAGTAAGTCATTTTCTGTACTTACTAGTACAAAAACTAACTTAATTTTATTATTTATTTATTTGTTTTGTTTCACTTTTGATGCATAAATCTGACACTATGATTGTCAAAAAGATGATCTCAGGGACTGGGAAGATGGTTCAGTGTTACTGACTGCTCTTACAGAGGACCTGGGTTCAATTCCCAGCACCCACATGGCAGCTAACAACTGTCTATAACTCCAAGATCTGACACCCTCACACAGACATATAGGCAGGCAAAGTACCCATGTAACTAAAAATATATTAATTATTTTCAAAAAAGAAGCTCTCTACTTATCATTTTTATAATTCAGAAATCTGAATGAAAAAGCACATCACAGCTTATTTCTTGAACTTAGTGGCATCCATTCCTTATAGGCACACTCTAGTAAAGGTTCTTTCTTTTATATTGACTGTTTTCTTTCCATTTTAAAAATATTACTGGATATCATGGGAACAATATTAACCAAGTTTCACAGAAACATTATTTAATTGTGCACAAGATTTTTGGGTATTTCAGATAATGATTGTAAGAGTCACCTTCAAATATAATTATAAAACACAAGATAGCTTGAAAACACATGTGTCTTTCTCATTAGCTTAAACCTATCATTCCTTGACAACATACAAAACCTCAAATATGATAGTAAGTACAACAAACACAATGTAATTATAGTTCCCCAGGATTTATGTGTCCAGTAATTATATTACTGACTAAAAATTATAACTATGAATAGTCACTCAATGGTATCTGATCCATTATTAAATAGCTAATCTGTACTTCCACTGCTCTTCCATAATAGGAGTAACAGAAAGCTGAACTTACTTCAACAGGAGAAAATGCTATGCCACATTCCACAGATGTGCTTTCTTCTACCTCTATGGCATACATATAAGGAACTTCTGTATTTCTGAATTCTCCTGTGGATCAAGAAAAATAATATATAAAACCTATCCTCTCTCTCTCTGTGTGTGTGTGTGTGTGTGTGTGTGTGTGTGTGTGTTTGTGTGTGTGTATGTATGTGTGTGTGTGTAGGAATATGATTTATTATGAATGCGGAAAATGTCATTATACTACTCATAGCAATGAAAATGCAACTACTGAAATCCCTAGGGGTAAAGCTACATCAAATTTCTAAGAGTACCATAATGAATACCAAGTTTATAATATCAAATCTCAGATCTAAATATGCAATGTACACTCATAAATAATAAAAAAAATCCATTATAAATTCTTTCCAACTTCCATAAATATACTAATATTTGGAGAAAAGAAGAAAGGAATAAAGAGTAAGATCAAGCAACTTAGTAGGACCTCAGAATAGCTAAGAAATGACCTATTCAATGAAGGGGAAGCAAAGAAGACCCATGCCTTGTTAGATCACCTGAAAATCCACAAATATACAAAATATACCAAATACTTCAATTTTCCATCATTTATTTTTGAGAAGACACGTGAATTTTCCTTTCAGAAACACTCATACATACATATGTACATGTGAAGCATTAGTATCAACTATTGCTAAAATAGAACTATAAGGTATCAAAGAATATTAGTCATTCAAAACAACATCATAATGAAAAAGACAAACCATCTCACAAAGGAAAAATTCTGGTCAAAATGGAAATATTTCAACAATAAAGATATTAGGTAAAAATAAATTTGTCCCAAAGAAATTAATTGCTGAAAGTTCAAATGTAAGTAAACTAATTTGTTCATTCCATTTACCTTATTAATTCCACAAATAATAATCTTAATTATCTTTATCTGAAAATAAAATTCTGTAACTTATCCCATGTTTTTCTCACTCAAATATACTTACCAATGATATGATAGACAAGCCATGGAATAAATATATTTATACTAGAACATTTGTAGCTTGGGATCCATCAAATAATAGCCAACTAAGATAGATACATATTTATAAAATAAAGTAGTTTACTGGAACAAATTTTTGGAAGCAAATATGATGTATATGTATATATGTACATACATATATATGTATATATAAAATACAGCTTGTGAAATAGATATATATCACGTTTCTTTCTAGTATGTTTTTCCTTCCATGATTATGTATGTCCTCATAGTAATTATATGCATAGTAGTAGAAAAGAAATTTGCTAAAAACAAAAATTACAAATATGGTATTGTACCTAATTAATATATACTCTATTAGGGTTATATATACGAAAAAAAACATACAAAACATGTACACAGAGCAATCTGCTGCCTGTCTGAATCCAGTTATTTTCATACTAAAGTAAAAGAGCAAATAGAATTCCACCTACTTAACCAGAGTTCAAATGTGTATATCAATAATCCATAGGACAAAGCAAGATGCAACCAGTTTATAAAAGATGAAAAGACAACAAAGAGCATGGAGAACAGGGATGCATTATTCTAGGAGAATGGAAATTCAGTTATGTTGAGATGTATTACATGGCTCCAGAAGAAAAATCTATGGTACTTAAAATGACCAGTAACTAGAATGACAAGGTGAGGTCATCCATAAATGTATGTCAAAATTACTTTTCCCATAAGTCACTCTAAAAATATTAATTAAAGAATTTTGTTGGAAACCAATAAGATATCAAAATAGTCATTTATCTGTTAAAACATTCATAAGAAGATAAATTTTCAGAATGGTTTAAGAAAATGGTTTTTTTTGTTACTAGCTATTAAAATCAACTTATGTGCTTCATTTACTTTGTGCAGTCTATTGATCTGAAACTCATGAAGGAAATCATGAGAGTAGAGAAATATCTTTGAATGTAATGTTCCATGGAATAGGAATAAGGAGAAAGGGTTAGAAGTAGAAATGCATTTGAAAAGATAAGTAAGTGTCCTTGAAAAGAGGTTTGAATTACAGGCAAATCAACTCTGAAAAGAAAAGCACTTTAAAGAGTTGATTCATGGAACAAGAGTATATGGGTCCCGAGAATAAAGTGTCAAATGGCTAAAAATTGGTTCAACATACACATTTTAATAAATAAACATATATTTCATGTAGATTTCCAAGAATCTACTCTAAACTAGTCATGGACAATTAAACAAGATACTCAAACACAGAAAGCCTGCTTAATCATGATCTCACTCCAGCACTCTGTCTACAGTGTAGTGGACCCTCAGCTACCTGGACCTTAGGGACAAACACCAGAAATGACTGGAAATCTCTTCCTGTTCCTACTCCTCCTCCTTCTCATCCTCCTCTTCTTCCTCATCCTCTTCCTCCACTTCTTCATGTGCATCTACTGCATTGGGTCAAATAATTTCTCATTTCTCTGAACTTGTACTCTCTTCCTTCCCACTGACAGTTCTGTTTTCTCAGTCCAAACTTCTCACCGGCACCTTCTCAATTAAACTCCATTGCCTGCATATAAATCCTATAAATGTTCTGTTTAACCTTTAAGTGTTGAAAGACATTTAATCCCAAACTTGAAAGGCAGAGAGAAAAGGATCTCTGTGAGTCTCAGGCCAGCCTCATCTATAAATGGAGTTCAAAGACAGCCAGGCTAAAACCCTGTCTCAAAAAATAAAAAAGTCAACAAAGTTACTTTCATAATCTTGGTTTCATGATCCAACCACTAATCATACGAAGTCCTTACTAAGGCTTTACCCTCATTCCTTCTCATATACCCTTGTTTATATTCTTTCAGTTCCTTAACATGTGTAGTAACTATGATAGTTCTCATAAGTGAGCCTAGACTAGGTTTTCCCCAATGTATAACCTATACATCCCCTATAACCTGTGTGATCAACTGTCTTGCATTATTAGTTATGTAATATGGTAAAAACCACATTGTTAATTTAACTACTGATATAAGTAATCAACATTTGTCACCTAGACATAATATTCATACTTCATGGCTTTATTCTGTCTTGACTTCTCTAAAACAGTAAGTCAAGCTTCAATGCTATTTCTCCTGATTAAGTTCTACCATAGAATGCACCAGAACAAGTAGGAGATGAGAAAAAGAAAAATATTTACCCTTCTATTCCTTCGGAAGCCCTGCTAGCAGTTCTAGCAATGGCTCCATTGCATTGTCACTATGGTGCTTACTAGTTGCCTCACTGTCCATAATATCTTCTGCTAGATCAGCAACGCACGTTTTCCTCTTCTTCCTTCAGAATTAGAGACAACTGCATCCCCCCCACAATTTTTGTTTCTGTTAATACTTTCCTAGACTCCCACAAATTTATTTTCTAAAGTCTATTTAGTTAAACACTATGAATGATGCATCTGTTTGTCACTGAGATTCTGACAGGTAACCTTACTGTTCACTTCTTAAGACGACAGAAAATGTACTAGTTACCTTAAAGATTTAATCTAACGTTTACTCTAAAATTGGGGTTGATCAAATATTTACTGATAAATAATTAACCAAGTCAACTGGAAGAACACTTTTCTGTGAGGGTTCAAAAAACAGATACACTATACTTTGTGAGACATGATTTCTGAAGCAACTCTTCAATTCTGCCATTTTAGCATGAAAGCAGCAAAAAGCAATAGGCAAATAAATCTATATTTGAATTAAACTTTGTTCATAACATAACGTTCAAATCAGACTTAGCCCATGAGTACTAGTTGCTAACTTATGAAGTAAAAAAGAAACAATACACTCATAAAAGCATATATTTCATTTAAGCCAAAATAAATACAATAACTCATGACACATAAGTAAACACAGAGGGCAGACTATACACTATTTTGAGAATATAAAATTAACAATTATATTTTTAGTTAAAGCAAATCATTTATATACCACTGTTGCTATATAAAGCTAATTAATAAATACAGCTACATATAATGTTATCCAAGTGTTCTAATATTACAAGAGACATATTGAAAGGAATAATAATATCATAACAAATCATGGAAAGTAACTGCCATTATTATGTTTTTAATGATTATATCCTAGACAATTTAAAAGTAATTTGCTTTACAATACTATCACAATATAAATCATATACCTGCATTTCCCTTAAAATCCATTGCAAAAAGTGGGAATTCTTTTAGATTGAACTCTACTTTGGCCCGTGTCACACCTCTGTTTTTAATTACAAATGGGATAGTTTCTGTAGTGCCAACATAGGTACCACTGAAATTAAATACATTCTAAATCAAAAAAGAAATAATAATTAGAAAGTACTATAATGCTTTACAAATATGTACAGTCATTTATATTTTGATACTTAAGATCAATTGCCAAACGTATCTCTATGAAACTTTATCTTTCTCTTCCCCATATGTAAAATATCAAAAATCATTGAACCAGCTCCCTTCTTCAACCTATTTATTGGATTGTATTTGTATGATAATAGTAAGTAGTCAACTGTAATTGAGTTTCTAGATTTTTACTTTCTCAAATTCTTCCCCTCAATAACTAAGTTACAAAGTCCATCTCTTATATTTGGCCTTCCCCCACTATCAACGTGACAAGGTCCAAGATCATCACCAGTGTTCATAACACTGCCCAAGACCTTTATTTAATGTCTTATGTTCTAGCTACATCTAAGCCCTTTCCTCATCATAACATTTTATATTTCAGTAGCCTCTATGATTTTGCATTTCAAACTAATACCAGATATTTCAACCATTTGTCTCAACTATCAAGCCTCTTCTCTAAAATGTAGCTACCGTATAAAGTTATTCATCCAAAAGAACCTCAGATAAACCATAATTAATTACATTGTGGTAAGGATGACTTATTCCTTATGTGTATTTGCCTGGAGACAGCACAATATCTGTTCAAATATCTTCATCTAGTAATGAAAAACAGGATTGATTTTCATATACATGCACATGTGGTTCTATCCTTATGTGTGTCCATGTCTATATGTATTCTGGATTCTTACTGAGAGTATGTGAACTCTTCCACACATACCTAGTATGTGGCTATATCACAAACTTCTGTAAGGAACCTCATGATAAATTTACTAAAAGATCAACTCCTAAGCAAATGCACCACACAAAATATTAAAAGAACATAGTATCAACAGTACTATAATATTGAGTTTAGCTTTTATACTATTTAGTTTTTTTTCCATTTTATTGAAATATAATTTTTGCAGATATTAAATAATGGTTATTGTTTCCCTTCCCTCTACTCCTCTGACTTCCTCTCTTATCCCCTCCCATTTGGATTCACACCACTTCTGTCTCCCATTAGATAAAATTGGCTTCTATGAGATAAGAATAAAACATAATTCTATTACGACTAAAAGTAATGCATAAGAATTGCACAAAACAAACAGAAATAAAGAAGCCAAAGGAAAGGCACAAGAAACAGAGATCCACTCATTTATACACTCAAGAATCCAGTAAAAACACTAAACTGGAAGCAATGGTATGTATGCAAAGAACCTGGTGCATACCCATACAGGACCTCCCTGTGCATGTTGCCTCAGTATCTAAGAGTTCTCATGTTAAACATGTTGATTTAGAGGGCCTTCTTTTCTTGGTGTCTTCCATCCCCTCAGGTTCTTTATGCTCTTCATTTTTACTAATCACCACAGTATTAAATAGGCTAGTTGAATATCTGCTGGTCGATGTATCTCAATCCATCACCACTGAACAACAGGATTCAGAAACTAAAGCCTGACTCAATAAGAGCCTGACTCAAAGGCAGCCAGTTAAACTCTTTAATCATTGTATTTTAAAATTTAGTACCATAATGAAACCAGATAATGGAAAAACAATTGGGAAAAAAAGCAATCTCAATAGGATAATCGCTATAGTGAAAAATCTCTCAGAGGTTGATAACATCTTATAAATGTCACAATGGGACAAAATGAAGGCCTGCTTTGAATATCTAATAAAAGTTTCTTTGAGTAAACAGAACAGATCCTATCCTTTGAAGTAATGTTTAAATACAGAAGGTGTGTGTGTGTGTGTTTGTGTGTGTATACTGTGTGTCTGTCTCTTAGTATGTGTATGTGTTTACACTGTATGTATGTGTGTTTGCATGTGAACACATGCATGTGTCAATGTGTATGCACATTATCAATTGTAGAACAAATACTACTTATGTATAGATAATGTTTTTAAAAACTGATGAGTATAGTTCAGAAAATTAATATCAAGACTACATTAAAGTATCTATACTCATTAGATGAGCCTTTTACATCTCATAATAAAACTTGTAGAGCATTGAAATATAGAGCAATAGAAATAAAAGTATTATGATAATATTATGATATTTTAGAAATTATCTATGGGGGCTAGAGATATGGCTCAGCAGTTAAAAGTACTGGTTGTTCTTCCAGAGGTCCTAAGTTCAATTCCCAGCAGCCACATGGTGAATCACAATCATCTATAATGAGATCTAGTTCCCTTTTCTGGCATGAAGGTATACATGCAGATATAGCACTCAATGTAAGCATGGGGCAAAAAAAAAAAAATCCAAAAAGGAAAAAAAAAAGACATTATCTTATAAAGACAAACATGAACAAATAGTACATCTTAGGAAGCCTTTGTACCTCAAAATATGACCTGACATGGTGACAATGCTTTTGATAACAGTTAGAAATAACTAGATGGAAGAACAGTGGAATGAAGATGCATATTATAGTATGTTCAAGCAAACAACCTTTATAAAGCAATGATGAAAAATACAGCATAGTTTCACACAACCTAAATCAATCTTGGAAACACAATACTCAACTAAAGTACCTCATCAATGACTACAAACACTTCTTCATGTGTCATAAAACTCAAAACAGGACAAATTAAACCAATAGTTAAGACATATTACACATATATCTATTATAGGCAAAGGATAATCTCTTATGAATGATGAGAACATAATGAAACCATTTTATTAATACTGGTAGTTTGCTGGTTTGAAGATAAAATTGAACACAAAAAAATGTCTAAAGAACTACAAGACTGCTGCCACCTAACAATTTTAACTTTCGTGGAAAGTCTACCATAAATGCCCTTCCGGGAGAGTGAGATCAACAACTAACTTCTCCATGGAGCCCTCAACTAATGCCTGATGGAAACAGGAGCAAAGACCCATACATAAACATTGAGTCAAACTAGAACCCAGATGCAGATGGAGAGGACAAGAGCAGGTGACAAAAACACATAGAGACAGCTTACCTGAATAAGGAGGAGCTAACTGGCCACCAGACTGATAGCTGGGAAGCTGGCAGGGGACTGACTAAGGCCCCCCTGAATATGGGTCTCAGCCAGAAGATCTGAGCAGTCTAAGGGACCTCAGACAGTGGAGCCAGGATGTATCCCTGGTGCACAAAAGGACCTTGCTAACACATCCCCCATGGAGGAATAACTGCCTTAACCTAGAGACAGGAGAGAAGCCCTAGTCCCTACTTCACATGACCTGTCAGATCTACATGACCCCAACTGGATGGCATTCCCCTACATATGGAATTGGGGTGGGGGATGGGAGGGGAAAGAGGTTAGAGTGCATGTGAGAGGGCAGAGAGGGTAAAAGGGAGGGAGGGAGTGAGTGAGTGAGTAAGGGAGGGAGGGAGAGGGAACTGGGATCGACAGATAAATTAAAAAAAATTACTGGTAGTTTGCTCACATGTAAGTTTAGTGTTTTATTGTTTAAAAAATACAATATCCTGCTTCATCAGTTATAATTACAGTACTTATATTAACTATTATATGCAAAATTACTACACAGGAAAATATTTGTAAATATTAATGAACTGATTATGGATGCTTAACATAACCATCAAAGTCATAAATTAAGCAAACAAGCAAGAGGCATACTCACAGGTGTGATTTCAACATCAGCAATTTCAACAGATCCACCAATCCTTAGATCTATAACATTTGCACGGTGAATAGCAACCTTATTAAAGACAAGAAATTTTGTACAAATTACATTAAAAATAATAATATATAGATGATCAATTCCAGGCCCCCTTATGTTACTTTATAATATAAATAAGAGCATATAGAAATCAGATGGCTTATGAATTTGACTAGAGATTAAAATTCATTTGACTAGACCTGATTATAATTCTCTGTAACATATTTTCCTTATCTAATTACAACAGATTATTTTATAAAAGCAAAAGTACATTTGAATGATATACAATTTGTTCCACAGAAATATGCTAATAAACACAATAGCTATGAAAACAAGTCAAAAGTGTTGTGTAGGATTACTATAGTACTTAATTATGTTGTCTTTTTCATTACTTGGTATACTATGGCATAATTTTCTCAAGAAAATTATTTTCAAACTACAGTGAACTAATGGTTAGAAGGGGCAATGTTCTGTCTTTGGGGTGTCCATAAAGTTGAATGCCAACACAATAAAACCTGAACCATAGCCTTCCTGATTACTGAGTCTTCACTAAGAAAAAAAAAGATATTACAGTAGAATCAAAATAACTTCAAAAAATGGGAAAGGATAGGTGTCATGCAGGATTGGGGGGAAGGTGCAAGGAGCTCTACCTAGGGAGAAGGAAAACAGGACAAAGTTGCTATGCAGTGAAAAATAGAGGGGTGGGTCCTAACTGGGGCATGGAATTGGCAATGCAAGGGAAGAAGAAGTTGAGGTAAATAATACTTAACTACTTGAGAAAGACATAGAGAAATGCATGCACACACTCACACACACACACACACACACACACACACACCATGGATATAAATTAGATATAGATACAGATAAAGATACAGATAGATACAGATATAGATATAGATATGCTTTTACATATACGAGGAGCATATTATTGGGAAAAAAAGACAATCTAACAAAATACTTAATATAAAAGTACGGTGAAACTCTGATGTGGTGTTGGAAGGAGTCTACAAGATTTCCAAAACAACATGTTCTGCCTCCCAAACCTTGAAAGTCAGACTCCATTGCTAATGATACCACACTTTTGGTTATTGGAAAAGAGGAATTCAGGTGGACCTGACCAGGAAGCCTCCTCCCTGGGGACTAGCTCGCATACTATTGAAAGGTAGTATTAAAGCTGCTAAGAGAGAAAAGGTTATTAATCAATACTCCCATCCAGCTATGATGCCTACATACCACAGTGGCCTGTCTGAAAATATATCACCAATAGTGCGACAGTGTCACTATTGTATTACGGTGATGTATTTAAGACCCACTTAGTGAAAGGAATTCATGTATGGTAACAAGCCTTCTATGGAGAGAGTACAACCTACTATGGCCACTTTCCTACACCAAGAGAATTTCTAACTGTAATACCAGAGATATAGTTTCCATCAGTGTTTTTAAAAGCTATTTTTTTCCCCATCTGCAACACAACCTAAGGCTCAGGGCACATCATGGAAGAGGACACTGAAAGAATCTAATAGCCAGAGGATCATAATGTCTCCTGCATCCCATAATTACTCTTTCCTAATTTCCCCAAGGCCATGAAGAAAAGCTCACTTATTTCGATGAGAACGATTAGGCTCTTTCAAATCATTCAATTTTATGTGAAACTGCCTCATGCTTATTGGTAGCATTGTTTCAACTTAGAAGAAACTTCAGCTACTGGGTTTCTTGAAAAAAATTTTCAGAGACTTCTCTCTAAGTGTTGCTACCTAATGTTCTTTTAGATAATTTAGGTATAGTTGCTACTTTTAGACCTCTGAACCTGCATATTTAGAATTAATTCAATTTTTATATAAACAGTACCTTAATTTATTTAGCATTATACTTCAAAATTCCATTATTTATTCATGAAGTAATTAAATTTACTAATAACAAGTGTAAGTAGTTATTTTGTGATAATGTGCTTATTAATATAAATTTATATTTATAAAACATTACATACACATGGAGATGTGTGCATAAATGCATATACACACATACATATACAAATACAGAGAGAGAAAGAATGGACAAGTACATGAACAGATATACCTTTGCTCTTGTATCAAATTTTTCTGCCACAGTAGGTGTACAGGAGATATTAAGAACAGTTATTCCCCCAAATGGGATTATTCCTTCTGATGGAATGATATTAATGGTAGGCAAAAGGCTTTGATCACAAACCTGTAATAAAAAATTGGTAAGATGCTACAGTGACTTACAAATTAATGATATCAAAAGTTTGGCAGGGAAGTATCTAAAGTACTTCCTACACAGAGGCTGAGAATAAGACATGAGGTGATTTTGCAATAGAATTGTATTACATCAAATACACAAATAATTTAAACTACAACTAGTTAATCCCATCTAGTTCTTGTTACTACCAAGACAATCCTCATTAAAAAAGTGAAAGTAAAAAAGGAAAAGCAGATAACTTACTATATTACATAACATTTCTTGGCAATTATATTTAAAAGTGTTCACATTTTTTTAATAAACCAAATTATACCAAGGAAGGAAAATCATAGTTTGGAAAAGTAGAATAATAAATGTGCTAAATGAATTCAGAAAGTCCATTGACAAATAGCAAAGTACTAACTTTGTAGTATATTTGAAACAAATTGATTCGAATCATTACTTAATTTGATCCAAATAAGAAATGGCAAAAATTTAGCATTACCTTGAAATAAGCATGGTTTTGCCCTATATTGTGAAGAATGGCTTTCCGCCAAGTAGTTAAACCTTGAGAACTATTACTGAACAGTATTCTTGGCTCTAAAAAGGTGACTCTAGTATGTCCAACCTGGTAATAAAAAGAAGAATGGGAGAAATTACCAAAACAAGAGCAAATAAAAAAGTCAATTGATTTGCTTTGAAAATTAAATGTAATTAACCTTTACCATCATTACCAAATGTATGTAAATACATTTAAACCTATAAACATAATTTTATGAATTTATCTAGTTTATAGCATTAAAATGTGTTAATATGAACAAAGAAATAATGCCAAATATTCTTCAATGAGAAGAGAAGAAAGTAATGAGAGAAGTGATAAAAAATATACCCCTGTCATGTAACTGGAACTTTACCTTTAGGGAGATTTTTAAAATATAACATGTTACTAGATTTTGCTGAAGCCTTAAGACAAAGAAAATTAGAATATAATGTTTAAATATTACTCTCTCAAAGTTCTGGTGGACAATAATTTACTGATAGAGTATTTCCCTAGCTTATGTGTAGCTCTGGGTGTGATCCCCAGAAACACCACAACACACACACAACAGTAGAAGGAAAGAGGCTATCCCTATGGCAGAAGTGATTCCTGGACTAAGAAACATACTGAACATACTGACAAATTACTGAAAGGCTCTTAGAGTTATCATTTACTCAGTTATGTATGGCATACTATTATATGTTATGCAACAGAATTCAAAGGTCATCTAAATATATGGAACAGGTTGTTAAAAATGAAGCCACCCAGACATATTTTTACTAGAATCCAAATTCATAGAGCTTAATATGCAGATAATGTATGCTTGGCCTACATGAGATGGGGACATAGTTTATTCTCATTGACAGAATTACTACACAGGCATAGGGACTTTCCTCTTACTTCCAAGAAAAGCATTTCATAGAACTAACAAACCACAGAACACTGTTTTCAAGTGTGGCCATTATGCATGTTTACAGTAGTAAAGGTTAAGTAATCAGGTATCAAAGGCAATTTGAACACAGTTTGTCCAAGAAATACTGAGTTGAGTTCACTTGGTGCTAGATTTTATAAAACTTCATAAACTATGCTATTATATTAGGCTTTAGAATATTCTTATAATTATTTTAAAACATAATCTTTGTAACTGGAATAATAAACATTCAAACTAAACTAAAATAGATGAAAAATGTAAGTCAGAGTTTTATCAATATATGATGAAACTTAACTGACATTTTATTTAAACACTGTGTTTCTCCATCCTACTCTTCAGAGTTAACTTTAAAAGTTTCAAAGCTTTATCTGAAATGACCCAATTTTCTATTCAATTATCTGAATTATTTCCTTGTGTGATTTACTGTTTAATTATCTCATAGGTTTATTTCCAGTAGTTTACTTATTTCATTCTTATTGACTCATGGGGTAGGAGATAGACAAAATAAATCACATTAGATAGGGTAACATTAAATCTGTGGAGGCAGTTGGATCTAGAAATAAACTGGTTGTGAATTTGAATAACTTAAAACCTCAGTTTTCTAGTAATTCACCATTAATTATATATTTGGATATAAGCAATGAATACCTCAGAATTTTAAAGGGATGAGATAATAAATAAACACCAGTTAGCATGGCACTTGACACATAGTAATTGCTCAATAAATAGTAACTAATTAATGCTACATCTGTTATTATTAAATCCCTCATTTTTATGTAAGTGAAAAATAGTCATAGGTTGAATATGTGAGCAAAAGTATAATATTAAACTTTCTAGATACAATAAGCAAATAAATACTTTGCAAATGCTCACTAAAAGATTTTCAATAATGGAAATGAAACGCAGTAATAACACATATCCTAGTTAACTATATAAATGGAAAGTGACAGCACATTCACGCAAATGGGATATGTTTTAAAGAGGACAATGAATAATCTACAAACAAGTTTGTCAGCACAGACTATTCCTACAAACCTAATTATATCAGAGAAGCGAATTCACCCCACAGGAGCAGACGCCAGGAAATAATCAACTTGAGGGCTGAAATCAACAAAATAGAAACGAGGAAAACAATACAAAAAATCAATGCAACAAAGAGTTGGTTTTTTGAGAAAATCAACAAGATAGACAAACCTTTATCCAAATTAACGAAAAAGCAGAGACAGAACATGCAAATTAACAAAATCAGAAACGAAATGGGGAACATAACAACAGAAACAGAGGAAATCCAGACAATTTTCAGGTCATACTTTGAAAATCTGTATTCCACAAAAATTGAAAATTCAAAGGGAATGGACAAGTTTCTGGATAACTATCACTTACCAAAATTAAGTCAAGAACAGACAAACAACTTAAATAGACCTATAACCTGCAATGAAATATAAGCAGTCATCGAAAGCCTTCCAACGAAAAAAAGTCCAGGGCCAGATGGATTCAGTGCAGAATTCTACCAGACATTCAAGGAAGAACTAATACCACTACTCCTCAAACTGTTCCACAAGAAAGAAAGAGAAGGTTTATTGTCAAACTCTTTTTATGAGGCCACAATAACTTTGGTACCCAAACCTCACAAAGACACCACTAAGAAAGAAAACTACAGACCAATATCCCTGATGAACATCGATGCAAAAATACTCAATAAAATACTGGCAAACCGAATTCAAAAATACATCAGAGAAAACATCCAACATGATAAAGAAGGCTTCATACCTGGATTGCAGGGATGGTTTAACATACGAAAATTTATCAACGTGATCCACCATATAAACAAACTGAAAAAGAAAAACCATATGATTATCTCCCTAGATGCGGAAAAAGACTTCCACAAAATTCAACACCCTTTCATGATAAAGGTATTAGAGAGGTCAGGGATAACAGGAACATACCTAAACATAATAAGAGCAATATACAGCAAACCAACTGCCAACATCAAACTGAATGAAGAGAAACTTGAGCCAATTCCTCTAAAATCAGGAACAAGACAAGGCTGTCCTCTCTCTCCATATCTCTTCAATATCATACTAGAAGTTCTAGCTAATGCTATAAGACAGCAAAAGGAGATCAAGGGCATCCAAATTGGAAAGGAAGAAGTCAAACTGTCTCTATTTGCAGATGATATGATAGTTTACATAAGCGACCCAATAAACTCTACCAGGGAACTCCTACAGCTGACAAACACCTTCAGCAAACTAGCAGGATACAAGATAAACTCAAAAAAATCAGTAGCCCTATTTTTTTCAGATGACAAAGAGGCAGAGAAAGAAATCAGAGAAACATCACCCTTTACAATAGCCACAAGCAACATAAAGTATCTTGGTGTAACGCTTACCAAACAAGTAAAAGACCTATATAATAAGAACTTTGTGACTCTAAAGAAAGAAATTAAAGAAGATACCAGAAAACGGAAAGACCTCCCATGCTCTTGGTTAAGTAGGATAAACATAATAAAAATGGCAATCTTACCAAAAGCAATCTACAGATTCAATGCAATCCCCATTAAAATACCACCACAATTCTTCACCGACCTTGAAAGGATAATAATCAACTTTATATGGAAAAACAAAAGACCCAGGATAGCAAAAACAACCCTATACAATAAAAGAACTTCAGGAGGCATCACCATTCCTGACTTTAAGCTCTACTACAGAAATATAGTTCTGGAAACAGCCTGGTATTGGCATAAAAATAGACAGGTAGACCAATGGAATCGAATTGAAAATCCTGATATTAATCCACGCACCTATGAACACCTGATTTTCGACAAAACAGCTAAAATTATACAATGGAGCAAAGACAGCATCTTCAACAAATGGTGCTGGCACAACTGGATGAAGGTGTGTAGAAGACTGCAGATAGACCCATGTCTGTCACCATGCACAAAACTCAAGTCCAAATGGATCAAAGACCTCAACATCAATCCAGCCACATTGAACCTCTTAGAAGAGAAAGTAGGAGGTACCCTTGAACAAATTGGTATAGGAGACCGCTTCTTGAACATAACTCCAGGGGCACAGACACTGAAAGAAACAATTAATAAATGGGACCTCTTCAAACTTAGAAGCTTCTGTAAGGCAAAAGACACAGTTGACAAGACCAAACGGCAGCCCACTGACTGGGAAAAGATTTTCACTAATCCTATATCCGACAAAGGGCTGATCTCCAAAATATACAAAGAACTCAAGAAATAAGTCAACAAAACACCAAATAACCCTATTAAAAAATGGGGTACAGAACTGAAGAAAGAATTCTCAATGGAGGAAATCAAAAAGGCTGAAAGACATTTAAGAAAATGCTCCACATCCTTAGCTATCAGGGAAATGCAAATCAAAACAACTTTGAGATACCATCTTATCCCTGCCAGAATGGCTAAAATTAGAAACACCAGTGATGACTTATGTTGGAGAGGATGTGGAGAAAGTGGAACACTCCTCCACTGCTGGTGGGAGTGCAAACTCATACAGCCATTTTGGAGATCAGTATGGCGGTTCCTCAGGAAAATGGGAATTAGTTTACCACAGGACCCGGCAATCCCCCTCTTAGGCATATACCCAAAGGATTCACATCAATGCAACAAAGACATCTGTTCAACTATGTTCATAGCAGCACTATTTGTAATAGCAAGAACCTGGAAGCAACCTAGATGCCCCTAAATTGAAGAATGGTTAATGAAGATGTGGCACATCTACACAATGGAATACTCTGCAGAAAAAAATAATGGTATCTTGAAATTTGCAGGCAAGTGGATGGCACTTGAAGAAACCATCCTGAATGAGGTAACCCAGTCACAAAAAGAGAAACACAGTATGTACTCACTCATATATGGATTTTAGAACTAGATCAAATGATCACCAGCCTATAATTCACATCACCTGAGGAACTAGGATACAAGTTGTATTCTAAGAGATTCATGTAAAGTCTCTCACAGAACTGGGAAGGGACAAGTCCCCCAGAGCTCAGGTAAAGTGGGGAAGGACAGCTAATGGAGAGAGAAGTAGGAGAAAATGGGGGGGAGGAGAGGAAGGCATGTGTGATCAGGAGGATTGAGCCTGGTTAGGAATGGAAAATAGGAAAGAGAGAGAGAGAGAGACAGAGACAGAGACAGAGAGAGAGAACATAAAAGAGGGAGCCAATATTGGTTTGAAGATAAAGTTGAACACAAAGAAAGGTCGAGGGAACTACAAGACTGCTCCCAACTAACAATCTCAACTCCCGTGGAAAGGCCATCATAAATGCCCTTCCCAGAGAGTGAGATCAACAACTAACTTCGCCGTGGAGTCCTCAACTAATGGCTGTTGAAAATAGGAGCAAACACCCATACATAAACACTGAGTCGAACTAGAACACAGAAGCAGATGGAGAGGACAAGACCATGCGGTAGAAGTACATAGAGACAGCTTACCTGAACAAGGAGGAGCTAAGGGCCACTAGACTGATAGCTGGGAAGCCAACAGGGGTCTGACTCAGACCCCCCTGAATATGGGTCTCAGCCAGAAGGTCTGAGGAGTCTAAGAGACCTCAGACAGTGGAGCCAGGATGTATCCCTGGTGCACAAAAGGACTTTGCAAACATATCCCCCATGGAGGGATAACTGCCTTATTCTAGAGATAGGAGAGAAGCCCTAGTCCCTACTTCACAGGACCTGTCAGATCTACATGACCCCAACTGGATGGCATTCCCCTACATATGGTATTGTGGTGGGGGGGTTGGGAGGGGAGGGTGTTTAGAGTGCATGTGAGAGGGCAAAGAGGGCAAAAGGGAGGGAAGGAGGGAGAAATGGCTGGAGGGGAGGGAGGGAGTGAGGGAGAGGGAACTGGGATCGACATGTAAAATAATAAATTAAAAAAAAAAAAAAAAAACGCTTTGACTCCAAAATTTAAGTTGAAGAACAAGTTACTGGGGAAAAGGATTTCTATTTTTGTTTCCACAGAAAATGAAAAGATGTGGATTCCTTCCAGACTAATGTGGTTTGATCATGCCAGACCGCCTGAAACAGAGTACAAACTGATCCTACATTCCAAACAGCTGGACAAAACAGCCCTACAGACTACAGCTAGGATATCTGAAATTTCTTCGAATCCCCCAAGACAGCGCCCCTTACCAGCAGGAAGTAGTTTGGAAAGAACGACGCCCAAATTCCCAAATATTGTGTATAAATGTTCGTTTTCATTTAATTGGACTTTGTTATATAAAATTAAATATATATATATATATATATATATATATGAAAGTTATATATGTAATAATGCATTTTGACTATGTGAATATAAATTTTAGACCATAATTAAGTTCTCATAAGTAAGAAAAGTGATAAACTTGGGAGGAATATTTTTATGGGAAATGTGGCCTGGGGGCAGGGTGGTTCTTCCATTATGGGAATTATGTTTGGTTTCTTTATCTGGGTGATCTGTGAGTAGTAACAAGGTATCAATTTGCAAAGATGAGTGATATGCCTTTAGTATCTGTACCTTTATATACACGCATTTACTTCAAGAGAAAGTTTTTGAAATAATAATATGTGATTTTTACACAAAGATTATTTCAAGATTAGACCTTAGGAAAGACTCTATTGTGTTCTGATAGCTACTTGCAAACCCTAAAATTGGAGAGACTCTTAGGTATAAGCTACAAGCACATTCAGAGGTGAAACACATTAGTCCAGAATATAAAGACAGAATTCAGGTAAAGTACTTGGGTTTTTAATTTGAGTCCATTGGTCTACCTGTCCATTTTTGTGCCAATACCAAGCTGCTTTCAGGGCTATAGCTTTATAGTAGAGCTTGAAATCAGGGATAGAGATGCCTCCGTAAGTTTCTTTATTGCACAGGGTTGTTTTGACTCTCCCGGGTGTTTTGTTTCTCCATATATAGTTGAGTATTGTCCTTTCAAGGCCTGTGAAGAATTGTGCTGGGATTTTGATGGGGATTGCACTGATTGCTTTTGACAACACTGGCATTTCCACTATGTTGATCCTGCCTATCTAAGAGCATGGGAGATCTTTCCATTTTCTGGTAGCTCCTTTAATTTCTTTCTTTAAAGACTCAAAGTTCTTGCTATACAGGTCATTCACATGTTTGGCTAGCATTACCCCCAAGATATTTTACGTTGTTTGTGGATATTGTAAAGAGTGATCATTCTCTGATTTCTTTCTCAGCCCATTTATTGTCTATATATAGTAGGGCTACTGATTTTTTTAAATTAATCATGTATCCTGCCACTATGCTGAAGGTGTTAGTCAGCTATAGGAGTTCCCTTTTATAGTTTTTACGGTCACCTATATAAACTATCATATCGTCTGCAAATGGTGAAATTTTGACTTCTTCCTTTCCAATTTGTATCCCCTTGATCTCCTTTTATCGTATTATTGATTTAGCTAGAACTTCAAGTACAATATTGAACAGATATGGAGAAAGTGGACAGCCTTTTCTTGTTCCTGATTTTGATGTTGGCTGTTAGTTTACTATATATTGCTTTTATTATGTTAACTTATGTTCCTATTATCCCTGATCTCTCCAATACTTTATTATAAAGGGGTGTTGGATTTTGTCAAAGGCTTTTTCAGATGATGGTTTTTCTTTTACAATTTGTTTACATGGTGGATTACATTGATAGATTTTTTTCATATGTTGAACTATCCCTGAATCCATGGGATGAAGCCTACTTGGTCATGGTGGATGATTTCTCTGACTTGTTCTTGGATTCAAATTTCCAGTATTTTATTGAGAATTTTTGCATCAAAGTTCATGAAGGATATTGATCTTTAGTTCTCTTTCTTAGTTGTGTCTTTGTGTGGCTTGGGTACCAAGGTAAGTGTATTCTCATATAAAAAGGTTGATAATGAAGCTTCTGCTTCTATTGTATGGTGATGGAATTGGAGGATAGGAGGGAGAGGAAACTGGGATCGATATGTAAAATGAAAAAGAATATTAAAAAATAACAAAATAAACAGAAACTCTGAAGAAAACCAAAAATAAAATAAAATAAATAATGGGATTTCAAAATGCATTAAAAATGTACTTGGGTTGTTTAAAATATCTAACAGCAGTTGGCTGGGATCATAAACAAAATGTACTCTTGGTATTGAGTCATATTGTTAGGGCATCTTGGGTCATACCATGGAGTGATATTAGTTACAGCTATCATCTTTTTTTTTTTCTTTTTACTGTAAGCAACATATTCTATTATAGTTAATAAAAACTCGGGTTTCTTTTAATATAAATTACATGATCTTTTCCATACTAAATTACTAACAGTTATTGGAAGATTAAGAGAGATTTCAGGATAGAATATATGAATGAAAATATAATATAAATTTCTGTACTATACTGTATATTGTATGTTAATGACAAGTGGCTCCCATGATGGTATTACATATATATAGAGCCTTTGACAACATAGTGTTGTTTCTACAAAACTCTTCGATATTTAAGTTAGTTCTTAATTCATAGTAGGTAAGTACATCTCTGAAGTAGCTAAAACAATTATCATTTAAATTCAGACTTTACATATAGAATTAAGCTAAGGCATCTAAATAGCAGTTTAACATATAATGCCTGAGATAAAAATCAAATTTAAGAGAAATAATTACATGTGCAATACACTTGAGGGTCAAAGTATTTCCTCCTGACACTTGAAGTGTAAACTCTCCCTTCTCTGGAGAACTAAAACCTGGTTGCCAGGTGACTTCACATTCCAATGAGCAGTAAGGATCAACAATGCCTACAGAGAAAAAGATTTTTAAAAGTCACCATATTTGCATTATTGATTTTTTAAACAATCAGGACAAGAGCGAGTGTAAATATGTAATGGCAAATGACAACTAAAACTAAATTTAAATTAAAGAAATTATGAGTGAGGTATTATTAAATGACCACAGTCCTAGAGGATTCATTAAAAGCTAAAATACAAATTGATTTTGCTAAAAGGTAAAAATAAATGTATACCAACATATGCCAATGTTTGAAAAATAAATAAAAATTTATCACAGATATAAACATAAGGATTAGAAAATCTTTTGTGAAATGACAAAATTAGTTACTCTAATATCTCAATTTTCTTAAGTAATTATCAACATAAACAATTATTAAGATTTCAGAAGGAAGAATTGCTCTTATGGCTTTTAGAGATTAACTTCTGATAGAGCTAAACATAATAACATATGAGAGAACATGTGATATTATGAACATTAGGTAGGTCAGGCTTCTCTAATTTCATAATTTAAAAGGAAATGATGCATGAGAGCAGAAGAGATGAGGGAATTCTGAAGTATCCAAAGAAAATAGAGGAAACTTCATTATCTTGCATGTGAGTTTTAACATGAAGGATGGATGAGCAGGAACTTTGGGGGGGGGGAATTCTGCAAGAACATAAAATGGCCAATAAAAATACTAATTTATTGAAGAAAAAGAGAAAAGAATACCTGATAGAAAGTGGCTTTGAGCATAGTCCTCAGGAATAAAGAAGCCAAAGAAATTTGGTGACTCATGTCACTAAATGGAAGACATGATTTACCATTACAAACAATTTTTTCTGGGGCTAGTTTGACTTACATGCACTGCAAGTGTTTGTCTTGTTTTGCTTTTCTCTTTATGTCTAAAAAAAATGAAGAGATAGAATGCTGACCTCTGATTTTACAATGGCCATACCAGGAGATGAGAACTCAATAGAGTTATGAACATGTATGAGGTGTTCAGAAAGTACCAAGTAGCACACTTTCAATATTCTTGGATGTCAGTCAATACTGTAATTATGAACTGTAATTCATGAAAGAGAGAGAGAGTTATGGAAGTGTTTACTATCTAGAGGTCTGTCAAGATCACCCTGGCTGTAAGGAACAAAAATGTCCTGACAGATAATTCAAGAGATGGAGGTATGTTCAGAAAGAAGTCACTCCATTATAATTAAGAAAATAGTAGGTGAAAATGGCTGTGATGGAAAAATAAACAAGATTCAATAATATAAAAAAATAAGAGAGGAATGAGATTCTTTTCAAAAATTACCAGTTAATGATGATGAATCTACATGAAAAAAAAAATTTCTCCCTCCACTCAACACATTTCTAAGAATATTACACTTAACAGGTAATAGAGAAAGAAGTCATAGAAATGTTTCAAATAAGGGTGAATTTGATAACAGTTAATATAATATAATCAAGAATTAAGAGAGCTGACATTTGCTGGGAGATGTTGCTCAGGGAAGAGTACTAAGAAAGATTCAAATGAATTAACTGAAGACAAGTTCAAGAATTGATTCATGGTACTGGCAAAAAAAAGCCAGCAAACTAAATAAGAACATAGAAAAATTAAACTAGAAATGAATTCTATCTCAGAAAATATAATTCCACTTTCACTTTCTCCTTTTTACAATATGCACTATTCACCAATCCAATCAAATCCAAACAATATCAATGTCTTAGGAAGAAATGATCAACATTTGGGGGGGGGGACAAGAGACTCTCTGTATTGTTTTGGAGATTGTACTGGAACTAGCTCTTTCAACCAGGCTTGCCTTGAACTCACAGAAATTCGCCTGCCTCTGCCTCTGAGTGCTGGGATTAAAGGCTTGTTCCACCAAAGCCCAGTTGAAATGATCTTAATATAGCACTATTCACATCATTTTACAAAAGGGCAGAAAGGCATATGACTAAATTTGTTATACAAGATGCTAAATTAAAACAGCATAAAAAATGTAAATGATGAAAATACAGAAGGAACAACTATATAAAACAGTAATCACTGTATGCATATTCTGAGGAAAATGATATTTAAAATCCATTTGTATAGTTAAAATATTACATGCTTTCATAAAATATAGTCAAAGTAATTTTAAACAACTGTAAGATTTTTAAAGTAAATTAATGATATCATTTACATAAAATTTCATATGGAAATGGAATATTTCAATACCTGTATGCTGGCGCTGCAATGTGGCTAATAAGAACTACCACTTAATATTTAACAAAAGCATAAAAAAGGGGTTTAGAACCAAAAGAACAAAGACAAGCAAGGCTTCTTGGTAGCAGCATTTTTCTCAGTTGGGTTCTGTTTTGCTAAAGACAAACAGAGATTTGCATGGCTTCTTTAAGGGAGGTTTCCTGACTCAGCATAAGCAGCAAAAAACTGTATGAGAGCTGGCAATGGCAGTGACTACATCTCCAAGCTGGCAACATGCTGCTGGATGGCAGCTTAGACCAAGGCAGTAAACACAGCTCTCAGTTATGGCGGTAAAATACCCGCTGCCATCTTGAAAGACAGTGGCTAAAACAACTGTGGATTTCATTTTTGCAATGTTGTTGTTTACCAGAAAAAAAGATTAGTGGCAAGAAAAAGATAAAGATTTACAGTAAAGACAGATTCAGATTAAGAAAAACCTCTAAAGGTTTACAGTGTATTTTAAAATATACATAGGCTTGGGAGAGAAAAAGAATAAAATGGTTTTTAAAAGACAGAGAGGAGCTGGGTGTGGTGGCACACGCCTTTAATCCCAGCACTCAGGAATCAGAGGCAAGCAGATCTCTGTGATTGCAAAGTAAACCTGGTATGCAGAGTGAATTCCAGGACAGAAAAAAAGTTACACACAGAAACACTGTCTCAAAAAAATGAAAAAATAGAAGTAAAAGAAACAGAGTAATGAAAAGCCACCTAAAGATGGAGAGAATATGGATACTGTACAGTATATTATATTGTCTTTGTATTGTTTGACTGCTGAGGAAATAACAACTGTTAAAACAAATGCTGCTGGATCAATTCAATTTATATATTTTAAAAATGCTTTGACTTCAAAATTTTAGTCCAAAGACAGGTTACTGGGGAAAAAGATTTCTATTTTTGTTTCCACAGAAAATGAAAAGCTGTGGATTCCTTGCATACCAAAATGGTTTGATCAAACAAGGCTCCCTGAAACAGTGTCCCAGGTGATCCAACATTCAAAACAGTTGGGACAAGCTAGCCTTGGAGACTAGCAGGAAGCAGTTTGGAAAGAACGACACCCAAATTCCCAAATATTGTCTATAAATGTTTTTCTCATTTAAATGGATTTGGTTATAAATTGTTAATGACCACAACCAATCTTTTTAAAGGATAAATGGGATTATGGTAGAGATATGAATACTTTGCTTTGAAATGGAATTTCTTTTACTGATACAAACTTAAGGTCAATTTTGTGATATGTATCTGTTCCCTCTTGTTGAGATATTGTGTTTATATAGGACATTTATAAATGTAATCTATAATTTAACACAGATTACTGATAGTTATCTATAATAGTCAAAATTTACAGTTAAATTACTTAAGATTTCTAGATATTCAGAGATGCATTTGAGATGGATAAGCATTCTTCAAACCTTTCAAAGACCTACAGAATATGGCATTTAAAAGGTTTTAGGGTTTTTCTTCACAGTGAGGCACAACTGCTCCTGGCAACACCAACTGCATGAGAAAGGAAGATGGACCTTGAAGAAATGTGTTATGGAGTTTGCTTCCAACATGGCAAGACTAGCCATTTGTTCTTGCCTGGACTATTTGACTTTATGCTGTATAAACTTGACATGCAAGCCCATAGAAAAGTGATTGCTGATATGAGATGGACATTGCTACAGAGTTCCTGCTTCATGGAAGAGTCTGCCAGACAGTCTGCTGGACACAGAGAAAAGTGACTGACAAAATGCCAATACAGGTGGATAGCTTAGTTTCCTCCTCTGCTAAGGAATCTGCCAAACACACTATGGCCTATAGGCTGAAGATGGAAAATTACAGAAGAACTTCGGGTGACTGACCAGGCAGGGAGTTGTCTCTATCATTTCTAGAATTTATATATTATCCCTGTGTGGTCTTTGATGGAGTTGCAGACAGATAGTTATGTTTATAGTTTCCTTAGTTAGGATTAAAGATAAGGTACATATAAGACTTTAGACTCACGAAGATAGGACAGATGCTAAAATATTTTGTTAAATCTTACTAAATGTTAATGGACTAAATATTGGTAACTGTGATTCTTATTTGATAACTGTTGTGATATATTTTACTATAAGGTTAAAAAACTTTTTATTTTAGACAGAAAAGAGGAGATGATGGGCAATGTCATTCTGTTAATATGTATCTCTTATTGGTTAATGAATAAAGCACTGTTGTCCAATAGGAAAGTAAGATAGGCGGGACTAGGAGGATTCCAAGAAGTAGTAGGGAGGAGTCAGCATGTAGAGATTGGAGAGAGCAGAATGCCGGCCCTACTCTCCAGTAATATGAGACCACATGGAAATACTTAGATTAATAGAAATGGGTTAATACTTAAGACAGCGCTAACCAATAAGAAAAAAGTAACAGGCCAAGAGAATTATATCTAATACAGCGTCTCTGTGTCTTAATTGGGGCTGGCGTTGTGGTGGGTCTAGGCTGGCAGGAAAATCCTACTTGTAACAGTATGCTTTAATAATTAGTTTCTTGGAAAACATATGAAAGAATTCATGGATAATGAAAAGAAAATAGAAGCAAATATCCATATCACCATTTTTAAGGAATTATTAAGACCATGCAAAACATAACTATTATGAGATTTATAACTTTTCAATTCTACTTCTATTTTATCCAAACTATGCATCATCATAAGATGAAGGTCATCCAATTAAGTCATAGTTAAAATAGAAAAATAACAGAAGTTGGGAAAGCATAAAACATTTTAAGCACCATTAATGAAAACTCATATATTTTGTTAGACCTAAGCCAGACTACTGATAGCTAATCTAAAACTGTCACATCCTTATTGAAATAAATTAAAAGGGCTATGGAGTATCTCTGAAATACATAGAAATACATTCTCACTGTTTTCTATTTCTTAAGTAGGAGTCAGTGTTACCAATATTACAGTGTAAAATACCGTTTGTACAAATTAATTTGAAATGTATCAATAAAGTAAAATTATGGTGTGATTATGCTAAATAACTTCAGGCTATTAAGACACTTCAACAGCTTTATCATCAATCCTAACTTTATTAAAGAAAATAGCACTCTATCCAATTTTTAAATTTAACATTATCAATGAATCAAGTTTAATGTTAAGATTAATTTATAACACTCTTCTTTGAACAGTTGTAAATTATAATAAATAATAACTTGGAAACAAATGGTAATAACAAGAAAATAAATACTACATTTTATCATAATTTGAAACATGATTTATATTCTAAACAACAATTATTCATTCATTATAACTAAAGAGAATGAGAAGAAAGTACAGAGGAAGGAAAAGAGGAGGGAGGCATGAAGAAAGTAGTAGAAACTAGAAAAAACGTCAAGACATATGATAACTTGTTAATATTTTCAGAATATTTTCAAATAAAGAAGTTCAAAATAATATATTTTCACTGTCACATACCTATCCGTTTATGTCTTTACCATCCTTTGTGAGACATTATAGTTTTCCATAAATTTAATATTAAATATATATTATATGTGTGTGTACTGAGTACACATGTACCACATGCATGCAAGAGTCTGCAGAGGTCAAAAGAGGGTGTGAGTTCCTCTTGAACTACAGTTACAGACAGTTGATGGGACATGTGTGTTCTAGGAAGCAAACCTAGGGACTCTGTAAGAGCAGTAATCACTCTTACCACTGAGCTATTTCAACAGCCTCTCATACATGTATAGATGAGGAAAGTAACTTGCATAGAGAAATTTGCCCCTGAAAAAAATAACTAGTGAGTGAGAAGCTGAGATCAGCTTTAATCTTTATTTTACTTGGCATTCATGGAGTACTAGATTCCACATTAAGTAAGTGTAGAGGCAAAGACTCAGATCTTTCTATATCACTGTAAAAGAATAAGCACATAAAATGGAAAAACAGGATTGGTCAGCTGGTAACTTGCAATTTACTTCTGTAAATTATACCTTCTGTCCTTATAAAGTCCTCACTGTACAACACAATAATGTTTGCCAAATACAAAAGGTTACTATATAAATCACACTGTAGAAGTTACTGAGTTTGCATATTAAAAATATATTATGTGAAATTATTAGACTGTAAGGGAATGACACACACACTAAATGAAACAGATGGGTAACTATTTCAGGGGCCCATCAAAAGTAGTAATTCAGACTGGCTTATACTAGTGTTCTTATTAAATGATAGTCTTAAAATTGTAACTACATTAAATGAATTTTATTAGTTGTATTATCACTAGTCATAATTTAAATTCTAAAAAATGTAAGTCATTGTAAATCATCTAATAATTTTAACTAAACTATAGAAGTAGTGACATTTTCAGTAGTATCTCTACTAATTAATGTTACACTTTTTTTTAGATTGAGGAACTCAGTTTTGTGGTCAAATATCAAGGAAGATAATAGCCTTGAGAATATTCAGATGTGAGTAAGTAGATTTAAAATAGATAACTGAAAAATACTGAATATATTTAGGTCATACAGTGTGCTAATTTGATAAATGTTCATATTGATGGCAGTTTTCATAAGCAAATGCACATTCAGATTACATTTAATACCGCCAGTGGGTCTTAATAATTTGATAGCCTTAGAGAATTTAGAACTCCTAAAAATTAATCTTTCCTTTGCTTTACTTTCCTTTACACTACAACATCATTATTCCTCTAGGTATCTAGCCTCCCATTTTGCCTTATGAACTTCTGATTTATTAAGCCACATAGTTAACTAAGAACTTACATCTCTATCACGTATTGTGTATTTGTTAGAATTTCAATACACAACCCTTATTTTCAAGTCATATTTATACATATAAAATAGATCTCTTGATTATAGTATACAGTTTACTTCTATTGACATAGTACATTCTCAATAAGTACTTAATGCCTGAATACATGAGTGAAGGAATTGACATAGTAAATAGTACATGCTCAATAAGTACTTAATGCCTGAATACAGGAGTGAATGAATGCATTTCTAAATTTAAAAAAAAAATATATATATATATATATACATATATATATATATGCTATTACCTTTGGCCGGACGAATAGAAAATGCAATTCCTCTCAGTGCACTTACTGGTTTCCATACAAATTGAGCAGGACGATTCAGTTGATTATACAGCCTAACAGTTCCCCGAAAACATGTTTTCAACAAGAAGGTTTGTGGTTTCAATACAATCTCATTACTAGACAATTCAAGTTTTACAGGCAAGATGACAGCCATCACCAGGATGTGTCCACCAGGGATGTTATTAATTCTGAAAGTGAATGATCTGTAACAGAGTAGAGAAACTCCCAAACTTAACTGATAGCCAAGTTCCTATTTATGATTACAGGCTACAAATAAAATATATATGCTATAGATTGCCACAAATAATTAATTCAGAGGATAATGAAGAAAACGATATCATCACTGAAATATAAAATACACAAGTATAGAAACTGATATATATATATATTATATACTTTCTGTGCTTAAGATAAAATAAAATCTGTTGTACAATTACTGAAATAAATTAATATCATAAATGACTCTAGCAAGCAGAAACTAAGAAATAAGCCTTACTTCCAAAATTTTCCATTGGTAGAAGACTCAAATACCATCGATACATATGTACTAGATGTAGGTGGGATCACATATGAAAATTGGTTGGTTTTCTGAAGTTCTTCCAAATCAATATCTAACTGTATCAATATATACATGGGCAGCATATTAACAATGTGAAGTAGCTGAGTATTTGTAGATTTCACACAAATATTACCAAAGTTAAGGACAGATGGTCCTGAAATAATCAAAGTAAGTTATTAAGTAAAAGTATTGCAAAGGTATTCCTTCATTTTCTAAGTCTTCAGATTTTATTTTGGTAAGTTAAATTGTACAATTTCTTCAGTAATGACATACATAAAGGTTGAATACTGACCACACTAAAACATTTGTTTGTACCTCATTACATTTCCTCTCATTAGTCTCAAAATATTTCTCAGAAAATTCACGTGCATTTCTACTCTACAGATCAGTATTCTTTCCAGAGTATTACCTTAATTACTTCTATTTATTTATTTATTTGCCTATTTTATTATGTCTGTGTGTATATAAAGAGGTGTGCGGTAACATCTATGTGTAAGTCAGAGGGCAAACTGAAAATTAGTTCACTGAACAATAAGAATTCTGATAACCAAGTTCAGGTCTCCAGGTTTAAGGGCAATCATGTTTACTAACTAATCCATCTCACTAATCGCCACTTCCCAGAATTTAAAAAGAATAGAATCATCTGTTATATAGCAGATTTGTGTGGATTCTTTGTCATAGTGGATTTTCTAGACAGTCATCCAACTTTTAAATAAATAGTTCACTCTTTTATATTATTAAGTAGTGTTTTGTGATGGTTAGTTTCAACTGTCTACTGGCACAATCTATAATCACCGTTTTAAAAAAGGTCTTAGTGAGTGATGGATTTTCTAGACTAGGTGGGTCTGTAAGCATGTGCTGTGGAATATTAGTTTAAGATGTGTTACATTCCTTTAAGACTGCAGAACATTTGTATAATGATGTAAAAATGTGTTATTCTTTTATGTTGCATTTCTTTAACTGTGTGAAGCTCTGTTATGTTACTTGCTTAAAACACATGATTGCTCAAATAAAAAGCTGAAAGGTCATTGCCTAGGCAGTAGAAAAATAGATGGGACTGCCAGGCAGAAGGAATGAATAGGAGAAATCTAGGCTCAAAAAATAGAAGGGGAAGGTGTGAGAGGAGAACAAGAGGAGGACACCAAGGACCAGATACCCAGCCACACAGCCAATCATTGAATAAGAAGGAAATAAAGATACATAGACTAAAGAAAGATGAAAAGCCCATAAGCAAAACATATGGTCTCTGCGGGACCATTCTGAGTTCCTGCCGGCAGGGCCTGTTGGTGTAGAAACATCCTGAGTATCAGCCCAGCCTTTGTCCCCTATTCCAGGCCTTGGCTAGAGGTGAGTCTGGGAAAAATTCATGTGGACTCTCCCCTATAACCTTCCCCAGGAGTTCCCAGGGTTGGCCCCAGACCCCCTTTCCCCTATGCCCTGTACCCATGGAGAGCTCTCTTGGAGCTCTGATACACACCACCCACCCCCACAGAGAACCTTCCCTCCCCCTACCCTGTGCCCTAACCTGTCCATTGTCCCAACACTCTAGTTGAACACTGGGAAAGAGAGTGGAGCCAACAATAGAGACACCTTCAAGGAACCTCCTGGAACATCCCTGGACATACCAGACCAGCCTATCCGCGGGAGACCACCCGTAATTTCCACCTTCATGGTCTCTGACCTCCACCTCCAGTCCTCTACTGAAGTTCCCGGCCCCTCCCAGAGATCGGCCTATCTCTGTGGGACCACTCTGAGTTCCTGCTGGCAGGATCCTTCACCCCCATCTCAGGGCCTCTGCTAAAGATGACTCAGCTGGAGAGTGCCAGGTCCCAGCTCGATCCGCCTATTGGTCCAAAAATATCCTGAGTATCATCCCAGCCTTCATCCCCTATTGCCAAGCGTTGGCTAGAGGTGAGTCTGGGAACAATTCCGGTGGACTCACTCCTACAACCTTCCCCAGAAATTCCCTTGATTGACCCCGGAGGCCCCTACCCCTGTTTCCTGTCCCCATTGAGAGTGCTCTTGGAGCTCTGATACACCACCACAAATCCCCACAAAGAGCCTACCCTCATCCTACCCTGTGCTCTACCCTGCCCACTGTCCCACTGTTCTAGTTGAGCACTGGGACAGAGGGTAGAGACAACAATCCAGACACCTTCCATGAACCTCCTGGAGTGGTTCTGAACACAGGAGACCTGCCTCTCCATGGAGGACCACTCGTAATTTCCACTTGCATGGTCTCTGAGCCCACCGCCAGTCCTCTACTAGAGTTCCAAGTTAGAAATTCTAGCTAAAGTAATAAGATAACAAAAGAAGATCAAGGGGATATAAATTGGAAAGGAAGAAATCAAACTGTCACTATTTGCAGATGATACAATAGTTTACATAAGCGTTCCAAAGAATTCTACCGGGAACTCCTGTAGCTAATAAACACCTGCAGCAAACTGGAAGGATACAAGATTAACTCAAAAAAAAAAAAAAAAAAGAAAGAAAAAGAAAAACTGGAATTGTGGGCTCTTCCCAGAGATCCGCCTATCTCTGCAGGAGCACTCTGAGTTCCTCATGCAGGAACCTTGAACCCCATCTCAGGGACTCTGTTAAAGAGGTGTCAGCTGGAGATGCCAGGCATAGGTTAGATCTGCCTATAGGCACAAGGAACATCCTGAGTCCCAGCCTTCGGGATCTTTGACCCCCATCACCAGTCTGCTGATGGAACCTGATCACTGGGCTCCTGCCAGTGGAGAGACCTCCTAGAGAGCTTGGACCACCCAGAGCTACAGACATCGAACCTGACCCACATAAGCCCACTGAGGAAGTACCATAGAGAGAGGGAGAGACCCCACCAACTGGAAGAAGCTATGTGAAGACTGCAATACAAGAAAACAACTAACAACAGAAAGATAAGCATGACACCTCCAGAATCTAGGGAATCTACACCAACTAGACCGAAACACAACAAAGCAGATGAAGCAGAAAGGAAATACTTAAAAATTATCATCATAAAAATGATAGAGGCCCTCAAAGAAGATCTGAGAAAATCCCTTAAAGAAATGGAGGAAAAAACAAACAAAAAAGTGGAAGAAATGAACAAATTCCTAAAGGAAAGTAAAGAAAGTACAGAAAGCCAAGAAAAAAACAATTAAGCAGTGAAGGAAACTGTTCAAGACTTGAAAACTGAAATAGAGAAAATAAAGATAACACAAACAAAAGGAATACTGGAAATAGAAAAAATGGGCAAACGATCGGGAAATACAGATGCAACATAACCAACAGAATTTAAGAGATGAAAGAGAGAATCTCAGGTGCAAAAGATAAAGTAGAGGAATATATTCAACAACCAAAGAAAGTCAAAATCCAACAACAAATCCTTAACACAAAACATCCAGGAAATGTGGGACATACCGAACATCAAATACACTGGACCAAAGACAAAAGATCACTCGACATATACTATTCAAAACACTTAACATACAGAATAAAGAAAGAATATTAAGAGCAGCCAAGGAAAAAGGACAGGTAATATATAAAGGCAGATTTTATGAAATTACACCTGACTTCTCAATGGAAACCCTCAAGGACAGAAGGTCCGTATAGCTGTTATACAATACTAAGAGTCCATGCATGCCAGCACAAGGGACTATATTCAGCAAAACTCTCAATCTTTATAGATGGAGAAAACAAGATATTTAATGACAAAGCCAGATTTTCACAATATATATCTACAAATCCAGCCATACAGAAAGTTTTGGAAGGAAAACTCCAACCCAAGGAAGTTATCTATGCCCACAAAGATGTAGGCAACAGATAATCTCACTACATCAGAAACCAAGGGTAAAGCAGGACAAATATATTCACAATACCACTGGCAACAACACATATAAAACAAACAAGCATCAACAATCAATGGTGCTTACTCATCCTCAACATTATGGTCTTAACTCAACTATAAAAAGACACAGGCTAACAGAATGGATACGAAGACAGAATCCATCCTTCTGTTGCATACAAGAAACACATCTAAGATTCAAAGATAGACATTACCTCAAGGTAATGTGTTGAGAAAAGATGTTCCAATCAAATGAACCCAAGAACCAAGCATGTGTGGCTACCCTAATATCTAACAAGTTAGACTTCAAACGAAAATTAATCAAAAGAAATGAAGATCGTCATTTCGTATTTTTCGCAGAAGAAATCCAACACAAGATCTCAATTCTGAACATCTTTGCCACAAATACAAAGGCACCCACATTCATAAAAGAAACACTTATAGTGAGAGACTTCAACATGCCATTATCACCACTAGACAGGACCACAAATCAGAAACTCAACAAAGAAACAAAAGAACTAACAGAATTTATGTCTCAACTGGGTTTAACAGACATCTATAGAACATTCCATCCAAACACAAAAGAATATACCTTCTTCTGTGCTCCACATGGAACCTTCTTTAAAATCGACAAAATACTAAGTGGTATAACAAGCCTCAAAAGATACAAACGAATTGGAATAGTCCCCTGTATGTTATCAGACCATGACGCTTTAAAACTGGAATTCAACAACACAAATCACAGAATACCTACAAACGTATGCAAACTGAACAATGTGCAATTGATCCATACCTGGGTCAAAGAAGAAATAAAGAAAGAAATTAAGGACTTTCTAAAATTCAACAAGAATGAGGACACAACATACCCGAAATTATGGGGCACGTTGAAAGCAGTGTAGTGAGGTAAGTTCATTGCACTAAGTGCCCATATGAAGAAAACAGAGGATAATCACATAAGAGAATTAACAGCACAATAGAAAACCTTAGAACAAAAAGAAGCAAACTCACCCTGGAGGAGTAGATGAAATCGACAAAATAGAAGCCAGGAAAACAATACAAAAAAATCAATGCAACAAAGAGTTGGTTTTTTGAGAAAATCAACAAGATAGACAAACCTCACCCAAACTAATGAAAACGCATAGAGAGAACATGCAAAATAACAAAGTCAGAAACGAAAGTAGGAACATAACAACAGACACAGAGGAAATCCAGACAATTTTCATGTCATACTTTGAAAATCTGTATTCCACAAAAATTGAAAATTCAAAGGAAATGGACAAATTTCTGGATAACTATCACTTTCCAAAATTAAATCAAGAAAAGACAAACAACTTAAATATACTTATAACCCACAATGAAATAGAAGCAGTCATCGAAATCCTTCCAATCAAAAAAAAAAAAAAAGAAGAAGCCCAGGGCCAGATGGTTTCACTGCAGAATTCTACCAGAAATTCAAGGAAGAATTAATGTGGAAAAATTGTTCCACAAAATAGAAACAGAAGTATCATTGCCTACTCTTTCTAAAAGGCCACAGTAACCTTGGTACCCAAGCCTCATAGAGACACAACTAAGAAAGAAAACTACAGGCCAAAATCCCTCATGAACATCGATGGAAAAATACTCAACAAAATACTGGCAAACAGAATCCAAGAATACATCAGAGAAATCATCCACCATGACCAGGTAGGTTTCATCCATGAATTGCAGGGATGCTACAACATACAAAAAACTATCAATATGATCCACCATATAAACAAACGAAAAAGAAGAGCCATATGATCATCCCCCTAGATGCTGAAAAAGCCTTCGACAAAATTCAACACCCTTTCATGATAAAGGACTTGGGGAGATCCAGCCACACTGAACCTCTTAGAAGAGAAAATGGGAAGTACCCACGAACAAATGGGTAGAGGAGACTGCTTCCTGAACATACCTCCAGGAGCATAGACACTGAGATCAACAATTAATAAACAGGACCTCTTCAATCTTAGAAGCTTCTGTAAGGCAAAGGACACAGTGGAAAAGGCCAAACCGTAGCCCACAGACTGGGAAAAAATTTTCACCAATCCTACATCCGACAAAGGGCTGATCTCCAAAATATACAATGAAATGAAGAAACTAGTCAACAAAACACCAAATAAGCCTATTAAAAATGGGGTACAGAACTGAAGAAAAAATACTCAACAGAGGAAATCAAAAAAGCCAAAAGACACTTAAGGAATTACTCAACATCCTTAGCTCTCAGGAAAATGCAAATCCAAACAACTTTGAGATACCATCTTACTCCAGCCAGAATGGCTAAAATTAGAAACACCAATGACAACTTATGCTGGAGAGGATGTGGAGAAATGCAAACACTCCTCCACTGCAGATGGAAATGCAAACTCGTACAGCCATTTTGGAGAATAGTATGGTGGTTCCTCAGGTAAATGGGAATTAGTTTACCAGAGGACCCGGCAATCCCCCTCTTAGGCATATACCCAAAAGAACAATATCCATGCAACAATGACATGTGCTCAACTATGTTCATAGCATTATAATTTGTAACAGCAAGAACCTGGAAGCAACCTAGATACCCTTCAACTGAAGAATGGATAAAGAAGATGTTGCACATCTACTCCGCAGAAGAAAATAATGGAATCTTGAAATTCGTAGGCAAGTGGATACCCCTTGAAGAAACAATCCTGAATGAGGTAACCCAGTCACAAAAAGAGGAACATGGTATGTACTAGCTCATATATGGATTTTAGAACTAGAGCAATGGATCACCAGACTAAATTCACATCACCAGAGGAACTAGGATACTAGGTGTATTTTAAGAGATTCATATAAAATCCTTCACAGAAGGGGGAATGGACAAGTCCCCCAGAGTACATGGGATTTGGGGGTGGCAATGAAAGGAGAGAGAAGTAGGAACAAGAGAAGGGGAGGAGAGGAAAGCATGTGCAATTAGGAAGATTGAGTCATGGTAAGAATAGAAGACAAGAGAGAGAGAGAGAGAGAGAGAGAGAGAGAGAGAGAGTCAGAGAGAGAGATCATAAAAGAAGAAGCCTTTATTGATTTGAAGAGACAACTGAACCTAAAGAAAGGTCTAAAGACTTACAATGCTGCTGCCAACTAACAATTTGAGCATCCATGGAAAGGCTACCATAAATGCCCTTCCTGGATAGTGAGATCAACAACTAATTATCCACCATCATGGAGCCCTCATCTAGTACCTGTTGGAAACAGAAGCAAACACCTGTTCCTAAACACTGAGTTGAACTAGAATCCACATGCAGAGGGAGAGGACAAGAACAGATTGCAGAAACACATAGAGACAGCTAACCTGAACAAGGAAGAGATAACAGGCCCCCAGACTGATAGCTGGGAATACAGAATGGGACTGACTCAGGCCCCCCTGAATATGGGTCTCAGCCATAAGGACTGAGCAGTCTAAGGGACCTCAGACAGTGGAACCAGGATGTATTCCTGGTGCACAGAAGGACCTTGCAGACACATCCCCCATGGAGGGATACTGCCCTAACCTAGAAAGAAGTCCTAGTCCCTACTTCAAATGACTCAACAGATATGCATGACACCATCTGGATGGCATTGCCCTACATGTGGAATTGGGGTGGGGTGATGGAAGGGGAGGGTGGGCAAGGTGCATGTGAAGGGGCAGAGATGGTAAAGGGATGGAGGGAGGGAGAAGAACCTGGGATCGTCATGTAGTATAAATAAATAAATATATAAATAGATTTTTAAAAACCTAAAAAGAGAAAAGAAAAGAAAATCTGGCTAGAAAGAAGTCAACCTAATACTAGGCATTTATAATTAAGAATTACATCTCAGTGTGTTTATTTGGGTGGCGGGTTTTGAGTCCACAAAGAGAAAAAAAAAAAAAACTACATGCATGTCTACAAGTATTACTTTGATCACCTTTATTGGTATTGGAAATCATACCTTCTTGGGGTCTACACCACATATTGGTTTGAAGTTGTGGAATGCATGACAGTAGAGAAAATAACTATGTACTAAAGGATATATACATTCATTGCTCTCTACTCTTCACTGTGAATATGATGTGGCCTGCTGTCTCAAGCTCTGTCCACCCTGTCTTCTTCAAAGTAATGTAATATAGGTTGGAAGTTTGAGTTAAAATAGATTTCTTCCCTATCCTGCTTTTTGTCAGGGTATTTCCTTCCTAACAACCAAAATAAAATGAGGAGACACTCCCTTTCAGTATATATCTTAACTGCATTGGTTTATTCAGCTGTTCACTGATATTTAGTTTCCAGTTATTAGCTATTGCACAAAAGCTACTAAGCATTTTTGATAGCAAGCTCAGATTTGAGATACAACTTCATTTCTTTTGGATAAATGTCTAGGAGTAGAAGGGATGAATTATATGGTGTGTACATGAATATATAAGCAGCCAGCATACTATTTAAAATAGTTTTATTTTGTATACTAAATTTAGTATATGGCTAGAAGTGACTCATCAAGCAAAAGATCTCAGTATTTAATTTTTCCCCAAAGCAAAAGAATCCAAGACTAGTAACTATTTAAGGGGACAGCAAACTATTTAAAATAGCTATATTCTCATGAGTAGTATACAACATAAAAGTATTTTAAGACAGGGTTTCTCTGTAACTTTGGAGCCAGTCTTGAAACTAGATCTAACGACCAGCCTGGCCTCAAACTCACAGACATCTGCCTGCCTCTGCCTCTGCCTCTCTGCCTCTCTGCCCCTCTGCCCCTCTGCCCCTCTGCCCCTCTGCCCCTCTGCCCCTCTGCCCCTCTGCCTCTGCCTCTGCTGGAATTAAAGGAGTGTGCCACCACCTTCTGGCTTATATTGTAGTGAAATATCCACCCTTCCCACTAGCCCATTTGGGTGTGGTCATAGGTGAGGACTTGATGGGTGAAGGCTAGGGCTGGGGTCCCCAGCTCTCTCTCTCTCTCTTTGATCACATTGGTTTACAGAGAGCAGCCTGGGCATCGATCCTTGGAGTGGGCACTTTTGGGTCACTGGTTTCTTGTAAAAGTGGCTTCTCCCCGAATAAAATATAGTAACCCATATTATAACCTCATAACAGGTATCTTAATCTGTGCATCAATATCATATATTGGAGATTTCTACTAAAGCTCCTGAAGCTTTGTTTTGGTTTAAATCTAGGAGTATAATCTGTTAGCCTGCTAGAATTATCACCTAAAATTGATTCTTCTGTCTTTAGTTCTAGTAGGATTTTTTAGGAACTGAAGACCAAAACTCTCACAATGACACATTTGTCCAAGAACACCTACGTAACTACAGTTGTGTGGTGAAATGAGCCATGGACCTTCTATTCTACCATCTTGATCAAATCTGTTTTTGAGAGTGAGGGGAAATGGAGAGAATGAAAAGGGGATAGACAGAGAGGGAGGGAGGGACAAAGGGACGGAGGGAGGGAGAGAAAGAGGCAAAGAACAAAAGGGAACATGAGAATAAAATATAAAATTGGGCAGGTAGGAATGTGAGTAGGATCTGGAAAGAGCTTGTGGGGACATGATCAAATATTGTATAAAAATAAAATCAGTACACACACACACACACACACACACACACACTCAATGTAGTAGATTTCTGTATAATCTTACCAACAATTACTTGATGGATTTGCTTTGGTGTCAAAACTTTGCTGCAGTCATGTTTTTCTTGGTGAGTGGTTGGCTTTGATTTAAGTCCTTTGGGAATCTGTTTTTCCAAAATTAATCATTCAATATTAGTAAGAGTAATTTTTAGAATTCTCATGATATAACAAATTTGAAAACGTATCACATGCCTTTCTCTGCAGAGATTCTGTCTCTCTGGATGCTATTTTCTTGGTGCTTAGCAATCTTTTAGCTTTGAGAGAAGAAGACTTTAAAGTTGGAAGTATCTCCTCTTCTATTTCTGATTGAGATAGTGATGGTGACTTTAGACCAGATGATGGCTGCATGCCTATATCTACTTCATTAAATGGACACTTGCGTCCCCTATAAAAATAATAATGATTATAAAATAATAGTAATAATGGCTAATTGAGGGAATGTTTTTCACAAAACACATTAATAACTTCAAATATACTTCATGGAGAATTCTCTTATGGGGCTATCCATAACCATATCCATGGAACTGCATTGAAATACTTATCTGAAGGATGGTTTCTTCTAGTATGTGGCCTTCACTCTTCTTCAACACCTCAAAGAAATTATAGACAACCCTATTTCTTTTTCAGACTTAAAAGACAGATCACAGTCACTGAGCAGTTTGGACTAAAAAGAAAAGCCTCTTTGGTTCAAGATAAAATCAGTGACATCATTTATGTTCAAAAATATCTTGTCATCAGTCTGAGTACCAACTTTATTTGAATCACATCAATTCTTCCTTTGCTATACTCTGATGCCTGCATCCTATACAGCTTTCTTTGGGAATATGCTTTTAGTGAATCACATACAATAGAATCCCCACCTCAGAATCTGATTGTAGCAAAAGCTACCTAAGAAAACTGCAAATAAAAAGTTAGCAAAAGCTAATATAGCCAAAGCAGTTAAATGTTTTACCTGTAACATATACTGAAATGCTATTAAATTAATATTAATACTAAAATGGTATTAATAGTGGTTAAAATTTAAATCATTACAATCTATAAAAACATCATAAAATGGACTTCAGATTTAATTGTTTTTATATTTGTTTATGGAGAAAACACTCAAAGCACAGACAAATGGAAATGTATCCAGCTAAGAAGCCTCTGCAAAGCAAAGGAAATGATAAAAAGTAGAAATCACTGTTAAAATGGGGAAAATACACAAATCATTAATTTGAAAAAAGATGTATCCATAATACATACATAAAAAAGCTTAATAACAGCCCCCTTGATAATAAAATTGCATTGTATATGAATGAAATGAGATGAATGCATACTTCTTAAAGAAAGAACAAATGGCCAATTAGTTTATAAAGCTCAATGTCTTCAGAAAAACAAGAATCAAAGTGACACAGATTATCACCTCATGTTATTGAAAATACAAACTACAAGGAATGATAAAAAGATGTGAAATACGCAAAACTAAAAACATTATTGGATTATAATACATAGCCACCATGGAAACTAATATGGAGGAACTCAAAGCTCCAAAAGCAATGACAAGGGAATTAAGGAAGCATTAGTTATCGTGATCTGACCCAAATATATGGTGATAAATGTCCTGAAATTTTACATTATTCTTTATAAATATCTTCAATTATTACATTAATCAAAAACTCTAAAACTTTATGATGACCATGCCAAATACCTTGATTTGATCATTATATCTAATCATTATATTGTACTCCCAAATTATATATTCAAATAATCAATTTAAGAAGAAAACCAAATCTGGTCTTTAGGTACATTGCTTGAAGAACTATCTTTACCTCTGTGCTTCTTTCTGTAGGCGTGCATTTCTTAAATTTCTAATGTAATCTCTGTAGTAATCTCGATGTATTTTTCTTTCTAGTTTTTCCAAATCAGTGTATTCATAATCAGGATCTGTATAGTCATGCCTTGGCATCTTTGTGAAAATTGTTCTACAAGATACACAAAATGTCATGTTAGAATACACTTGCATCGCACACACACACACACACACACACCTGTTTAATCAGTATATGCAGATTAATTGATTACTGGTTAATTTAAATGTCAAGTGGGTCGTATTAAATGGTGAGTAGGAGAGCCTACATATTCTATGACATACAAAGATATCATTGCATTTACAATTAGGGTGAGTGTGAGATATACCTGTGTGTGTCAGTGTGTATGTAAGTGTGGTATGTTTTACATGCATATGCATACATACATATATACATACATCTTTTGAAAATTCAATAAGAAAAAATAGACATTTCACTAAACATACTATTGTTAGATTACATACCTTCTAGATACCCTTTGCTTTCTCCCAGAAATCAGGACCATGGAAAAAGACCTGTGGCACTACAAGACAGAGAACTGCTAAGCCTAACACAACCTCCTACATTTAGTTACAACACAGGTGTGCTTGCCCCATTGCCAAAGCTGAGACTAGCCTAAGATAAATCACATGATATGAAACTTGTTCATGGGCTGAAAACCTCAAAAAGGCAGAAACCCACTTTGTTCTCTAGAACTGAAGTATATGTCACTCCCATTAAGAAATATAGGGGTTACCTCTTCTATTGGTTTCCCATTTCAAGTCCAGTCTGGCTGTCAGTGATCAAGAGGCTCTCTTGTAATAAACATTATTCAGAATGGTAATTTCCTATCAGCTCCTTTCTAGGAACCAGCTGGAGGAGGGACTGTTTTGTTGTTCTAACAACTATTTCCTTAAAGTCTAGTGTTCACTAAGCACAAAAAATTATCTCTGTAGCTTGGAGTAAGCACTATTGTTTCTAGTATGTAATATATAACCAAAATTTATTACATAATTAGATACTTTTTCTAATTTATTCAAAGAAAACTTGCTGAGTTGTGAGTGTTGTATGGTGTATGGCTATTTTCTTCCCATGTATAGCATGATAAGCCAATCACCATTTTAGAGTAGAAATTATGGAATAAACAGTATAGTGATATATTTATGTATAGTTATGGTAATGAAGCTGTTCATATATCCTATTAGCAAAAGGAAAAAATAACCATAGGGTCCTCAACTGAGACTACAGATATTATTACTCCTGTCCTTCTCCAGATGCAAGTAATATTGGGAAATACTAATGGAAAACTGAATGATGTCAGATATCCATTAGCAAACACACCTGGAAGTGATGTAGCTATTTTGGGATTAAGCACACTTATTATTAAGTAACCCCTCCACAATTGGGCTCTGAAAGTAAGCCCAATAAACTCACTGATTTTATCACAAATTTGAACTTTCAATGAATTACTTTGTTCTGTTGTTGGTGCCTTATCTGGAATAAACCGATATTTACTTAAGTCTCCCCAGAAAAAGTTAACCCAACATTCACCTGTATTCTTGACATGAGTAGAGGGGATACCGCTATTAACAAATTCTCCACCTTATTTTCTTCTTAAATATTGAAAGGGTTAAAATGCATAAGAATAAACTAGCAATTGTAATTCCTAACAAAAAATGAAATGAATGCACTAGCATAAAACTTTAGTTTCTTTTTGTTTGTTTCTATTTTATTTAAATTTGAAACAATCTGATTTTATATATAAATCCCAGTTCCCTTTCCCTCCCATTCTCCCATGCCCCCAACCAACCACCATCCCATCCGTCTTCTGCTCCTTAGATAGGAGATCACCAAAGTCTGTCACATCATTTGGGGCACAGCCTACACCCTCCCCCATGTGTCCAGGCTGAAACAGTATCTTTTCTAAATGTTTTATTGATAATATTACTAGACTTAGTAATGTGAAAAACATTTCATTGAGAGAAGTAAATATAGCTATTAAATAATAGGAATGGCTAAGTATATTTTCTATTAAATTTTATGATCTAATAAATCAAAATGTTACTTTCCGTAGGAATATAGGTTTATAAGAGTAAAAACTACTCCCAGAAATCATCAAGTCAGATTATTGGAGGGAATCTAATGAACCAAAAGAATACATACAACTGCATTTTCATAATTCATAACAATTTCACATGTCAGAATGGTTTTTGTAGTTCTGTTTTTGTGGTACTGGTCAAATAAAAACAAATAAAAGAAAAACAGATATGAATGGAATTTGTAAATGAAAAATATCAAGGAAGTCAGTAAATGGCATAGAGTTTTTCCATTATAGATAATAAAAATGTGGTCTGAAAAATCAAATAGGAATATAGGAAAGTTGATAAAAAAAATTAAATGATCTTAATGAAACACCAAAATTAAAGAGACAAGTAGAAAAATTACAGGGCTATTATTAAGTTTAGGTAGTCTACTATTAAAATCTTTCTAGGATGAAGGTACAGAAAATCATGTACTTGTCAGTTTTCACTTACCACTGGTAAATTAGTAATCTATTTGAGGTTATGATGAATTTAAACTAACACTTAAATATTCCTTATAAATTTAAACCTGAGAAGTTTTAAGTTAAGTGGGAAATGTCCCTGTGAGGAGATAGAACAAAGTGATGACAACAGTAATTGGTTTATTGCAATTTAAATTGTTTTATTCAGATAAATTCAAACTCAAAATTTTACTGAATAAATAAATATAACTATTCTCGACTCTAATTCCAATTCCAATAGTGATTATTTCTATCATTCATATATTGGTGCTCTTAATATACTTTAATATTAATTTGTATTGCAATAATTGCCTCATAAGCACACAATAATAGGTATAAAAAGATAAGGCAATTGCTGTAAATCCAACAGCTATTGTACTTCCCACACAAAATGGAAAACATAATTACATTCTGATTACTACCACCACTAGCTTTCTTTCCACTTGATACACCAGGATTTTGTCAGATCTCTACGTATTATCCAGAGTATTATGATTTTTCAGTTTTAATTTATAAATATTACACATTACCTGAACTGTTCATGGTGGTCTCCACACCTAATACTTGCAGCTCTGTCATTAGGAAAGGCAATCAGTGCATTCTTTGCTGACACATCATTTGAGTGATGATTATGAAGTTTTGTCATGGCTGACTGCAGCATTGCTGCTACAGGTGGAACATCTTCCTTTTTCTCTGACTCTTTGATCACAAATTGTCTTGTAGGATTACTGATCAAGGGGGATAGACCTTTAATAAAATTACATATTAAGTTGGAATTTAGTACTTTGTATTGATCATTTTCAAGAATTTGCCAAGATTTAATATACTAGTTAACTGGTATGACAGTCTGAATAAGAATGGCCCTCACAGAGAGTAATATTATTGTCAGAGATTAGAGGTATGACCTTAGAGCAGGTGTGGCCTTGTGGGAAGAAATATTACACTATGGTTGAGTTTTAGGGTTTCAAATGGTCAAGCCAAGCCCAGTATCTCTCTCTCCTCTCTTTCTCTCTCTCTCTCTCTCTCTCTCTCTCTCTCTCTCTCTCTCTCTCTCTCTCTGTGTGTGTGTGTGTGTGTGTGACTGTCTGTCTGTCTGTCTCTTTCTGTCTCTCACTCTGTCTCTCTCTTCATGTCTGCCTGCCAATCCACATGTAGAACTCTAAGCTCCTTCTCCAACACTATGTCTACCTGCATGCAATTAAGCTTCCTAACATGATAGTAATGGACTAAACCACTGAAACTGTAAGAAAGCCCCAGTTAGATGCTTTATTTTTTTAACGTTCCCCTGGTCATGGTGTCTCTTCACATCAATAGAACAATAGACAATTTATTTTAGCATGCCAAATTCTCAAGTACTTTGAGAAAATGCAAATGACTTAATACAATACTGGGCCTAATGCCTAACTGTTAATAAAATATATATGTAACAATAAACATGCTAATAAGAAGATGTAAATTAATTTATATGAAGTTGAATGGTATTTTTTGTATAAAGATGATTGTAAACCATTAAGTTCACATGCTCACATGGTACAATTAATAAAAGATTATATATCACTAGATAAAATTGCAGGACCAAGAAAATCTAGACATAGTCAAAACTAGTTTACACCAATCTCCAACAAAAATATAGAAAGAGTACAATACAGCAAATATTAAGATTGGAGCATCTGTATAAGACACTTCAAAATAACAATAAAACTTCTACAAGAAATATGACATAAATGTAAATTTTTAGTATAGACAGAAAACTATTTAATAATTAATACTAGAATGTAGGTCCAGTATTTGAACTGATCTTCTAGTTGACTTCGATAGATGCTTTAAAAGGGGAGAAAATTTGGATCTCAGACTCATAGCTGGGAAACCAGCATAGGACCGACCCAGACCCCCTGATCTGGGTGTCAGTTAGGAGGCCCAGGCAATCCATGGGGCCTCTGGTAGTTGATCAGTATTTACCCCTAGGAAATGAATGGACTTTGGGAGTCCATTTCACATAGAGGGATATTTCCTCAGCCTAGACACAAGCAGGAGGCCCTAGGCCCTGTTCCAAATGATATGACAGATTTTGAAGAACCTCCATGGAAGGCCTCGTTCTCCCTGGGGAGCAAAAAAGGGATAGGGTAGTGGATTACTGGGGGGGGGAGGGGAGGAGGGGAGGGAGAGAGAACTAGGATTGATATGTGAAAAAGAGCTCTTTCTAATTTAAATAAAAAATATTAAAGAAAAACAAAGGGGAGAGTACTGGGTTTTACCCTGTTTGATACATATACTATTATATTAACAACAACAATCACATTAGAGCTATGTGAAACTAATACAATAACATACCAGGATTAATTTTCACCCCAACTTTCTTAGTGTAAGCTTTGCAAATGCTGTTGAATTCTAAATGTATATAATGAAAAGGTTTCATTGACAAAGACCGTAAATTTTCATCTGCCACTGGGCCGATAATCTCGATCACTTGCTTCACTTTAAATACACCAATTTGATGCGGAACAAATGAACATACCACATTCTAAAGAAAAAGCAAATGTAATCAATATTGTGTTATTAGAAAAAATAAAAACAAATCTTAGGATATAGATTATTTCTATTTCAAGCAACAGGATTTCAACATGGACACCTATAAGCACTGTTAGGTAACATGCTTGCAAGTCATACAATGCTCATTATTAGAAATTTAAGAAAATTAAGAACATAGTACAATAGAATTACAACAACAATCAAAAACCTCCAAAACAAACTTGCACAAAAAAATGACAAAATTCACTAAAATTAAGTTTTCTAGGTATTTACAAATTATGTAAGACTTAGAAAATAATCAGTATGCTGAATGTCTGAAAGCTGTTATGACATTTTTCTTGCTATAGGGCCATTCGCCTAAACTCAGTTTTGTTATCTGCAACTATGGTAGCTGCAGCAATAATTAGCACTAACATCCAAAGAAGAGAAAAGTGTGGGTTAAAGAACACCAGAAATCACATTTCCAAAGATTGTACTATTGGTTCTGCCTAGCAATTGGCTGAAAAACACTGAAAGCATTTTTTATCTGCTATTTTATTCATTTATTTTATTTTTTAATAGGATTTGTCATTTTTCAAACTTATTTCTTTATTTTTTATTTTACCTGTAGATCCCCGTTCCCTCTCCCTTCCTTGCTCCCTCCCTCTCACCTACCCTCTCTGCCCTCTCACATGCACCCTGACCACCCTCCACTTCCATCACCCCACCCCAATTCCACATGTAGGGCAATGCCATCCAGGTGGTGTCATGTATATCTGTCGAGTCATTTTAAGTAGGGACTAGGACTTCTATCCTGTCTCTAGGTTAAGGCAGTATCCCTCCATGGGGGATGTGCCCGCAAGGTCCTTCTGTGCACCAGGAATACATCCTGGTTCCACTGTCTGAGGTCCCTTAGACTGCTCAGTCCTTATGGCTGAGACCCATATTCAGGGGGGCCTGAGTCAGTCCCATGCTGTATTCCCAGCTATCAGTCTGGGGGCCCGTTATCTCCTTCTTGTTCAGGTCAGCTGTCTCTATGTTTCTGCAATCTGTTCTTGTCCTCTCCCTCTGCATGTGGATTCTAGTTCAACTCAGTGTTTAGGAACAGGTGTTTGCTTCTGTTTCCAACAGGTACTAGATGAGGGCTCCATGATTGTGGATAAGTTAGTTGTGAAAGCATATTTTTATTTGATGTGATTCAGAGTACCCTCTGTAGTAACAGACCTCTGTGAGAAAGAAAAGGATGGAGGGAGGGAAGGGGAGAGAGAAAACCGAGTATCACAAAAAAGTTCACTTCCTTTGTCATTTAATGTTTAAAGAAGCTATTAGCAAGTAAACACCACATTACTGACATGTTCATACAGTGTTTTCAAAGTTCTGACATAGAAAGAAAGTTAATGTAAACAGGCATAAAAAGGAAGAAACAAAACCAGAGACAATCTTAAGAAAGGGTTACTGGATGTTGCCTGGTGAGAAGCAGCTGCCTATAATTGACCTATAAAAGGCTCCAAGTATTTGTTTCTGGAAACATGATTGACTGCAGACAGGAATTTCCTGTTATAGACATAGTCACATCAGCACTCAATGGCTATAATCACAGAAGACAGTTAACTAAACTGAACACAAACGTAATGTCAGAAATGCAAATGCTAGACATATGTATGATTGCTCAGACTTACTGAGACTTCTCTCTAACTCAGCGCATAAAAATTTATCCTGACCCTCAACTTAGTCTTTGGTACCTATAGAAGAGGGTTGGTGTCCATAACAACATGTTCCTAGTACCAAAAAAATTCCCCCAAAAAAGCTGCATTATGGTACATATATCCAATCAATTTTTGAGTAAGCTATAATCCCTCACCTATGGCTGATAAGGAGAAATTTAAATTTTTAAAAAGCTATAAGTTACTTTCAGAACTTCGAAAACAGGTCTCAATGACTATAAATATAGTAATACTAAAGTGTCAATGAAAGGAAACTGATACTTGGTTACTGTTTGCTCTAGGGATGACTCAAGAGAAAAGAACTCTAGACAGTGATCAGACCTTGAGATGGGAGGAAAGAACTGAAAAATAAATAAGAGACAAACATGAATGGGTTCCTAAAGAACCCATTTAAAACCTAGAAAGAAATTTCATGACAAATGAGGTAAAGAGAGATAGGAAGGAAAGAAAGAGAGAATGCACAAAAGGGAGTAGGACATTTGGGTTATAAAGGTGGCACAACAGTTAAGAGCTGCTCCTTCAAAAGAGGGTTGTAGTCCCACTATCCACAAGGTGGCTCACAATCTTCTCTAACTCCAGTTCCACAGAATTTGACACCCATTTGTAAACTCTGAAGACACCACATCTGCTAGTGGTGCACTGATATACATGCATGCAAAAGACATGCATACACAGAGAAATTAAAAAACAATAATTAAAATTTAGCAAATAGTGATGTGGGCAACAGAGAACTGCCTTTAGAGAAAATCAACAGGTAAGTATCCAGAAATAGTTCCAGAACAAAGAGTAAATCAGCCTTTTATAAACTTTAGGGAGTAGCAGGAAATGATTTGGTTCAACGTGGCTTTCAAACAACAGCAGTAAATGAATGAATGAATGAATAAATAAATAAATAAATAAATAGGTAAATAAATTTACCTCTCTGTTCTAGGATGAGATTCACAGAAGTATGGCATGATCTCTTCAGTATATGGGATTTAGCCTCTTAGAAATGACGACTGAAATGGGCAAGCTCATGTTCTAACATAATTGATTGAAAATACTTTAAGTAACTAAGTTTACAAAACCTTTGTTCAACCATTTGCTGAACAATAATTTAACTGAGAGAGACTTGACTAGCTACATACAACAAAGAAAACTATCAATACAGAATTTGTCTAGAAGATCACTAAATAATAATCAAAGCCACAGCTGACCTTACATTGACCTGATTTTCAGCATTTCAAAGAAGTATGCTATTTATAATTTCAAGTTTTCACTGGAAAATTATTTTGAAACAAATAAAACAGTAAATGTGGCCAACACACTAGAAGAAAAGTACACAACATAAAATGTCTGGGAAGATAGTCAAATGCTAGACTTATCAAACAATTGTGGTTGGTGAACTATTATAAATATATTGAAAAAAATTTTAAAACTTCTGAAGAACAAAAGAAAGTATGATAGTGATGCCTCATAAAAAGAATAATATCAAGTACTGAGATCATTAAATAAATATTCCAGATAAGACAGCATTTTAAAGATTCACTAAAGAGAGCTCAAGAGCAGAAATGAACTGATATAGGAAATAATCAATGAACTTGAAGACAATATATTTAAGAATATTCAGAATAACTAAGACAGATGATTAAAAATTAGGCAAAAGAGAATATGAAAAGACTCTAAGTACATCATAAAGTATCGAGAACAAGCAGATACAGTTCTGAGTGAAAGTGTATTGCTGACATGACCACAGCTATGTCAAGGACTGAAAATCCTTAGACCCATGGGAATGCCAAATCCTTTCTCAGGAATGGTTAAAACTTTCCTCTGGTCAACTACAGTTGACCTAAAACTGCCCTCCCATACTACACCACAGATATCTCCTATGTAGATTAGCTAAACCTATCTCATCATTAGTAAACAATAACTCTACTTCCTAAATTTGGATGTGTAAAATAAACATGCTGAGTTTCTGGGATGCTGCTATGGATTCTCCATCAAAGTGCATGGCATACCTGATCCCAGATTTTTTATATGTATGTCTGAGTGTATGTCCTTTGTTCATTCCCTCCGTGGGTAGACAAGATCACCAAATCTGTACAGGTCACAGTAATAAACATAGTACCAATGAAATGATAAGAGGGTTCAAAGGACAGTTGAGAGAAAATAGAGAATATTTGTAAAAATATAAAGAATGACGTGTTTAGAATCTTTGTGGAAAACATTAGTCTAACAATAAAACTCAACAAAACACATGATATATCAAAATGATAGACATATCAGATTCAAACTGTCAAAGTTGACAGGCTTGCAGCACACACCGTTAATCCCATCCCAGCACTGGGAGTCTGAGGCAGGTGGATCTGTGTGAGTTTGAGGCTAGTCTTGTCTATAGAGCAAATTCCAGGACAGCAAGGACTATACAGAGAAACTCTGTCTCAAATAAATAAATAAATAAACAAACAAACAAGTAACTTGTAAATCATAAGACTACTGGAAAAAAGAAAGCAGTGGGAAATAGATTTCCTTACTGAAAAAAATTTAGAGACTCAAAATCCTATATCTAGTAAAAAAAAAAAAACCCAGTCATAACTAAAGTATAAATGACAATGTTTCCAAATAAACATCAAAGGAGAGACTATATTGTTAATAAAGTTGCTTTAGGAAAGTACTAAAGGTAATCCTCCCATTGAAAGAAAAGCACAGTTGAAATTATACAAGTACTGATGAATCCATTAAGAACAGAAGTAAAGGAAACTACACAAAGAGAGTGCTATATTTTTATTTGTAATGTTTTCTTATTTATTTGGCTTATAAAATATAGTCAAATGAAAGAAGCTAGCCAGGGGCAACAGAGGACTAGGGAGGGCACTGGAGTAGGGTAATGAATTAGCAAAAAGTATGAGAACATACATACATACATATATGTACAAAGATGCCATGATGAAAGCTATTAAACTCAGTATGGTAACCTAAAACACTAATAAAAGTCAATGAATGAAAAATATGACAGTGACTATTCAAGAACAAAGATAAAATTCTACAAAAGAAACATAATTTGCATTACAGCAACCTAAATAGATGATAGGACAATTATACTGAAGCAATGTTTTTTGCATAGAATTGAAATAAGACATTTATTTCAACTATGCTCTGGTAAGTGAAGTTGTTAAATATATCCTCCAAAGAAACCATTAAAATATTAAATACCAAAAATATAAAAAGACAAGGAATCAAAATAATATGACAAAATGCTGTTTAAAAATAGAAATAATATTTTAAACCACTCCAAGAAAAGTAAATGGTATATGCAGAACCTACATTACCAATAACATTATTAAAATGGATTATTTAACATTTCCCTAACAACTTAAAGTATAGATGACCAATTTTATTATGTATTTGTATGCATGTAATATATAAATTATTAAATCAAACTAATTAACTTATCCTCATTTTTTATGGCAATGGCATTTAAATATAGTTTCCTAGCAATTTTGGATGGCATAACACATTAAGCTTAGTCACAATATAGCACTAAAATTCCTCCTTAATTTATTAATTCTGTCTCACTGTCCCATGTTTATATTGAAGAAATCTCAAGTCTACACTTTGCTTTAATTAGTTAAGTATATTTTTCCTGACCATATCTGCCAGTTTGCATTACAGATTTGCATTCCTGTCTCTGCATCTAGCTTCTTTCTCAAAGCATATTACCCAGGCTCATCCACAATGTTGCAAATAGCAGGATTTCCTGTATGAAAGCTAAATAGTATTCTATTTTCATATACAAATGTTATGTATTGCTTTTCTGTAAAGAAAACTAAATCATAAAATAAATCTATTCTCAGGGACATGATCATGTAAATGAAAGAATCTACTTTAAAGTCTGATAGCTTGCAAAGGAATTCAGGGAATTTGTATAATATATAGAAGTGAATAGCCCAAAATAAAATTTAAAATATAATGAAACTTGTTTTCCAAAAAAATCAAGACCCTTAAGAATATTTTTTGATATTCATATTTTTCATTTTATTTTTATTTTACATATCGATCCCAGTTCCGCCTTCCTCCCTCCCTCTTTCCTTCTCTCCTACCCTCTCATGTCCCTGACCACCCTCCCCTCCCAACCCATCCCCACTCCACAGGTAGGCTGATGCCCTCAGGAGGGGTCAATAAAATCTGTCAAATCGTTTGTAGTAGGTACTAGGCTCTCCGTCCTGCCTCTAGGCTAAGGAAGTATCCCTCCATAAGGAATGTGCTCCCAAAGTCCTTTCTTAAACCAGGGATACATCCTGGTTCCACTGTTAGAGGTCCCTTAGATTGCCCAAGCCTTCCAGTTGAGACCCATGTTCAAGGGATCTGAGTCAGTCCCACGGTGGATTCCCAGCTATCAGTCTAGTGGCCCATTAGCCCCTCCTTGTTCAGCTCAGCTGTCAACAACACAAAGAGATGATCTGAAGAATATTTTTTTAAAAGAATAATACCTGGGGTATATTTCTGTGGTAAAATAATTGCCAATCATGCAAAATACCCTGTGTTTGATCTCCGGTACTGTAAGAGAATATCGATGGGAGATGTCATTCTATAAATATATTTCTCTTATTGGTTAATGAATAAAGCACTGCTGTCCAATAGGAAAGCAAGATCGGAGGAACTAGAAGACAAGGATGATTTGAGGAAGTAGTAAAGAGGAGTCAACATGTAGAGACTTGAGAGAATAGAGGTACCTCTCTCTGGTAATATGAGACCACATGGAAATACTTCGATTAATAGAAATGGGTTAATATTTAAGACAGAGCTAGCTAATAAGAAACTAGTCACTGGCCACCAGCTTTATATCAAATATTGTGTCTCTATGTGTTATTTGGGGCTGGCACAGGGGTAGGTCCAGGCCAGCAGGGGAAAAAACTGCTTATAACAAAATGGTATCCAACGTGGACCGAAAAGCTTTTACTTAAAACTTGACAAAAGCTTAAAAGGGGATTTTAGAAACAAAACAACAGAGAAAACCAAGGCTTCTAAGTAGCATCATTTTTCTTGATTGAACTCTGTTTTGCTAGAGACAAGCCAAGACTTGTGCGGCTCCTTTAAGGGAGGTTTCCTGACTTAGCATAAGACTCAAAAAACCACAAGGCTTTTAGAGAGCTATGCTAAAAAGGTAATGGTATGTACAAGAGCTGGCAATGGCAGTGACCACATCTTCAACTAGGCAACATGTTGCTGGGTAGCAGCTTAGACCAAGGCAGGCAGCACAGCTCAGTTCTGGCAATAAAAGTACCGCCACCATCTTAGACAGACCGCTGCTAACACAGCTGTGGCTTTCATTTTAGCAATGTTTTTGTTTACCAGATAAAAGACTCATGGCCACAAAAAGATAAAGATTTACAGAAGAGACAGATTCAAATTAAGAAAGACCTCTAAAGGTTTACAGCATGTTTTAAAATATAAGTAGGCTTAGGAGAGAAAAAGAAACAGGATAAAATGGTTTTCAAAGTAAAACAAAAAGAAAGAGAGGAGCTGGGTGTGATGGCACATGCCTTTAATTCCAGCACTCGGGAGACAGAGGCAAGCAGATGTCTGTGATTACTAAGTAAACCTGGTATACAGAGTTAATTCTAGGAGAGATAAAAGTTACACAGAGAAAACCCGCCTCAAAAAGATAAAAAAATAAAAAATGAATATATAGAAGTAGAAGAAATAGAGTAATAAAAAAGCCATGTAAAGATGGAAAGCACAGAGAGAATCTGGATACTGTACAATGTTATACTGTCTTTGTATCATTTGACTGCTGAGGAAATAACAACTGTTAAAACAAATGCTGCTGTATTAATTCAATTTATATATTTTAAAAATGCTTTGACTCCAAAATTTATGTCCAAGGACATGCTACTTGGGAAAGGGATTTTTATTTTTGTTTCCACAGAAAATGAAAAGCTGTGGATTCCTTCCAGATTAACATGGTTTGATCAAGCAAGACCCCTTGAAACAGTGTTCCAGGTAACCAACATTCAAAACAACTGGGACAAGGCAGACTTGCAAACCACTAAAGCCAGGATTTCTGTGTCTCCTTAGGATCCCCATGTCAGCTCCCCCTACCAGCAGGAAACAGTTTGGAAAGAACAATGCCCAAATTCCCAAATATCATTTATAAATGTTTGTTTTCACTTATATGGGGTTGGTAATAAATGGTTAATGACGACAACCAATCTCTTTAAAGTTAAAAAGGGATTATGGAATAGAAATGGATACTTTTCTTTAGAATGGATTTTCATTTATTGATACAAATTTAAATCAATTTTGTGATATGGATATTTCTCCTCTTGTTTAGTTATTCTGTCTATATAGCTCATTTAAAGATGTAATGTATAATTTAGTAAAGAGTACAGATAGTTACCTATAATAGTCGAAACTTACATTTAAGTGAGTTAGGTTTTCTAGATATATAGAGATGTATTTGAGATAGACATTCTTCAAACATTTCAAAGACCTACAGAATATGGCATTTAATATGGTTTAAGATTTTTCTTAATAGTGAGGCACAACTGCTCCTGCCAACCCCAACTGCATCAGAAAGGAATACGGACATTGAAGAAACTCGTAATGGAGTTTGCTTTCAATATGACAAGACTAGCCATTTGGACAAAATATTGTTCTTATCTTGTCTAGACTATTTGACTTTATGCTGTATAAACTAGACATGCAGGACCCAACAAGATGAAACAAGATGGACATTACTGTAGGGTCCCTGCTTCATGGAAGAGTCTACCAGATAGTCTGCAGGGAACAGAGAAAAGTGACTGACATACTGCCATTACAATTAGACAGTTTAAAGTGTCCTGCTTTGCTGAGGATTCTGCCCAACACACTATGGCATATAGGCTGAAGATGGAACATTACAGATTAACTTTGGGTGACTGATCAGGCAGTAAGTTGTCTCTGTCAATTCTAGAGTTTATATATTAGGCTTCTGTGGTCTTTGAAGAAAGTGAAGACAGCTAATGGTTATAGATCCCCTTAGTTAGGATTAAAAATAAGTTACATATAGGACTTTAGACTCACAAAGATAGGATATATTATTAAATATTTTTTTATCTTGCTAAATGTTAATGGACTAAATATTGTTAACTATGGTTCTTACTTGATAATTGAACTACACGTGGAATTTAGGTGGGGGGATGGTAGGGGAGGGTGGTCAGGGTGCATATGACCAGGCAGAGAGGGAAAGAGGGAGGGAGAGGGAACTGGGATCAAGATGTAAAATAAAAAAAATAAATAAAATAAATAAATAAATAAATAAAACAAAAAGACTTAAGTGGGCATGTGAAGGTTCCTCTAGTGAACCATTCCTTTGTAGAAACTTGAAATCTACTAAAAGATTATGAATCATGGAATATCTGTTTGCTGTACAAATGTAATACAGTTAGAAAAGATGTTTGCATAACATCTGAAATAAATGAACAAAATTCGGTAATATAAATTAACGACTTGCATGCTTTTTCATTACCCTGACTCATTCCTTACTGGTAGGATCAATCTTTTCAGTATTTGGATTCTGGTTCAATGAGCCAGAAAAGTAACTTTGTAGTATTATAATGTCATCCAACTGTATATTTACTTTATTGAAAATAATGGTGAACAGTGTTCAATAAATAGTTTTATATTCCTAATATAAATTTCAAGGTATTACTCATATGATTGTTCCATAAAAACCTTCCTGGATAAATATAAAATACTTGTTCTTTGAGTTTGGCTGGAACTGCATTATAGATCCTGTTTAACACTTTATAGTCCTCTTAAGCAATACCTATTTCTATATGTCTTATAATTCCTTAAAAAATAAAACTGTTTTAAAAGCAATAACTGTATTTCATACAGCACTTGAAAATAACATGCTTTTCCTGGCACAATGTAGACCCTTAACAAATAATTATGGATTCTCTATGACTGAATTGATAGCTAATTCTAGGCCACATATGAGACTTACTTCATAAACACTACTAGATCTAATGTGGTTCTTACTCCTCATTGGAAGAAAAAATTGCTGAAAAGCTATGGAAGGAAGGCAAAAAAAAAAAAAAAAAAAAAAAAAAACGAGCTAACTTACCTGAATACATCCTTCATCAATTTTGCCCCTTTCAGGATCCATTTTAAAGTGTGCAGTTTTTTGAAAATGGTACATCACAGGAAGTGAAATGGATTGATTTTTTACAATGCATAGAAGATCTGAATGTTCACCCATGAAACAAGGTGCAAATGTAAGAACTTTTCCTGGATCAAACTGCAAGATGACAGGAAGTCCAGAGCCTGTCAAAGCTAATTCTACTTTTTGAAGTCGATTACCTGGAAAAGCAATAATGTTTATTAAACACAATGAGAAGTTTTTGGAGAATCAAAAATATATTTGCTTAACATACATAGTTATCACTTTTAAAAAAAAACATGGTTTTGAAAATAAGGAGGTCATTCAATCTTCAGCAAAACCACTGACAGCCTTCTCTGTGCTACACATAATTGTGAATCTTGAGGACAGTTATGAATAAAGAAAAAGCTGCTCTGATGGGTTTACATTCCAAAGATGTAATACTGACAGTAAGTACATTTACAAAACTCAGAGTAGAAACTACATATAAAGACAAAGAAGAGTGAAACATAATACAAAGTCTTAGGGATACTGTTTTAGGTAGAGATATTAAAACAGGCCATTTTTATTTATATGGCATCATTTGAGAAAACATTCAAAGTAACTGAAACATCCATAAAAATGTATTACAAGCAGAAAGAACAAAGTCAAATGCTCCAAAGTAGGAACTTGCTTCTCACATTCTAAATGACATAAGGGACCAGATATGGTTGTTTCAACAGAACTGTACATGGATGGTCAGCAAAAGCCAAGGTTACAGATACATTCTTGAGTGTAGAGTAAATAATCTTTGCTCACATACTATATAGAAATCAGGAAAATTAACAAATGCTAAATGGTGACAATAGGGTTTTTTCCTATTTTATTTGTTTGTTCATATATGCTTTAGTGCATATGTGAGCAACTGAAAAGATAGCATTGTCATTTCTGAAGATGAGCTACTTATAAAGAAAAAAAAATGTCAACTTGAAATAGCCTACAGTCATAGAAGAATTGTCTAGATTAGATTGGTATGTGGGCATTTCTGGGGGTTTCTTTGATTATTTACTAATGAAGGATGATAAAATTTATTGAAGTCAGCATTATCCCCTGGCAGTGGTTCTGGGTTGGATAAGAAACCTAGTTTATCATGAGCCAGTATCTAGTATATAGATCTTTCGCTGCATTTATACCTTTTACATAAAGATGTAAGAGGAATGAGTGAGGACTTGAATTAAAGGTGTGTCACATGGAGAGTGTTAAAATCTGCATGCACAAATTACAAAATTCAGCAAAAACACCATATTCCACTGGGGTGATTAAGCAATATTAAAGTTAAAAAGATTAGTTTGTCCTCTTCAATCTTTATGGAAAATTGACAAAATGTTATCTAGCCATGTAAGAGAATGATTATTAAATCATAAAGACTGGGAAAGTATTAAAATTTAGGGTTTGAGACATTAGGTATAAGACAGAACTATGGACTGTGTAAAAGAGCCAGTATTCCTCCATCTTGTCCCTGCTGCAACCATCTACGGTCTGACTCGGAGCTGATCCCCAGCTTAAAGCTGGTTATCAACATCCAAAACAACAACAAGTTTACAAATTCATAAAAACTGAACAACTCTCAAGACAGAAATAAAGAAAGAAATTAAAAACATTCTAGAATTCAGTAAAAATGAATGCACAACATATACAAACTTATGGAACACAATGAAAGCAGTGCTAAGAGGAAAGGTAATAGTATAAATTGATTACATTTTTTAAAAAAATGGAGACATGTTATGAGCAACTCAATACGAGGAGTAGACAACAAGAAATAATCAACCCAAGATTGGAATCAATGAAAGAGAAATAAAAGAAAATACAAAGAATCAATGAAGCAAATACTTATTTCCTTGAAAAAATAAACAAGATAGACACATGTTTACCCAAACTAAATAGAAGTCAGAAAGAGAATATAAAAATTAGCATTACTAGAAAGGAAAAGAAAAACAAAACAAACAGCAGACATCCAAGAAATCCAGATAATCATAAAGACACAATTTAAAAGCCTATCACTCCATCAAACTGGAAAGTCTAAAAGAAATAGATAATTTTCCTCATAGCTACCAATATTAAATCAAGATCAAATAAACATTTTTACATAGACCAATAACCCCTAAGATAATGGAAGCTGTCATTAAATTCTGACAACCAAAAAGATACCAGGGCCAAAATGGGTTTTGTGGAAAATTCTACCAGAGTTTCAAAAAAAAAAAAAAAAAAAAAAAGAGCTAATGACAATTCTCCTCAAATTATTCCACATAATAGAAACAGGAGGAGCATTACCAAATTCATTTTATTAGGCCAGAGGTACATTATGACCCAAAGACACATAAAGACTCAACAAAAAAATTATAGATCAATTTCCATTATGAACATGGATGCAAAAATACTCAAAAAAAAAAAAAAAGAAAGAAAGAAAAACACTTACAAACCAAATCCAAGCATACATCAAAAAAGAACATCAACCATGATCAAGTAGGCTTCATCCCAGAGATGCAGGGATGGTTCAATATATGAAAATTAGTCATTATAATACACCTTATACCCTAAATGAACAGAAAAAAATGACCATATCATTGGATGCGAAATAGGTCTTTAAAAAAAAAAATCTAAGACCTTTCATGATTAATGTTCTGTAGAGATCAGGGATACAAGGGACACACCTAAACATAATAAATGCAATTTACTGTGAGCTCACAGTCAACATCAAGTTAAATGGATAGAAACTAAAGCAATTCCACTACAACCAGGATCAAGTCAAGGTGGTCCACTCTCCATATCTATTCAATATTCTAACTGAAGTCTTAGCTAGAGCAATAAGGAAACTGAAGGAGACTCGGAGGATACAATTTGGAAAGGAAGAAGTCAAAGTAACATAATTTGAAGATGATATATACATAAAAATTTGACCATAAAATCCCCCTAAAAATTCCACCAGGTAACTTCCACAACTGACACTTTTAGCAAAGTAGATGGATACAACATTAAATCACAAAAATCCATAACCCTCATATATACAAAAGACAAAAAGACTGAGAAAAAAATCAGGGAGACACCTTTGACAACAGTTTCAAACAATATACTTGTCTCGGGGAAACTCCAACTAAGCATGCAGAAGACTTTCATGGTAAAAGTTCCAAGTCTTTGAAGAAAGAAATTCAAGATATTAGAATATGACAAGATTGCCCAAGCTTGTGTATAGGCAGGATTAACACAGAAAAAAAATGGCCAAACTATCAAAAGGAGTCTACAAATTCAACACAATGCCCAACAAAATTCCTTACAAATCTTGAAAGGTCAATTCTCAACTTTACATGGAAAATTTGAAAAAAAAAAAAAAAAAAAAAACAGGGATATCTAAAACAATCCTGAACAACAAAAGAAATACTGGAGTTCTAACTAGTCTGGATTTCAAGTTATACTACAGAGCTATAGTAATAAAAACCACATGGTATTTGCACAGAAACAGACACATTTATGTCCACTTAAATGGACCCTTGTTTTTGGAGCAAAAAATAAAGACAGAACTATACACTGTAAAAAAGAAAACATCTTCAACAAAAGTGTTGATTAAACTGGATGTCTGCATGTAGAAAAATACTAACAGATCCACACTTACCTCCCTGCATAAAACTAAATTTGAAGTGCATCAAATTTGAAACCAGATACAATAAAGCTTATAGAATACAAAGTAGTAAACAGCCTTTAACTCATTGACCCAGAAGACTTTCTGAACAGAACACCTATAGCACAGACACTATAATTAATGATAAATGTGACCTCATGAAACTGCATAGTTAATGTAAGGTAAAAGATACCACCCGATCAATGAGACAAAGCAGCAGCCCACAAAATGGGAAAAGATTTTTACCAACTCCACATTCAATAAAGGATAAATACAGCTCATGTTGCCACGGATGTGGAACAAGGGGAAAACTCCTCCATTGCAGGTGGGAATGCGAAGCATGTACAGTTGCTATGGAAATTAATATCATGGTTCCTCAGAAAATTGAGAATTGTTCTAACTCAAGATTCAATTATAGCCCTCTAGGATATATACCCAAAGGATGTTCCATCCTATCAAAAGGACACTTGCATAATCATGTCCTTTGTGGGCTGATTCATAATAAGCAGAAATAAACTAGATGACCGTCAACAGAAGAATGAATAAAGAAAATGTGGTACAATTATACAATTTGCTCAACCTGATAAAAAATGAAATCATGAAATTTGCAGGTAAATAGGTGGAACTATTAAAAAAAAAATCCTGAGATCATGAGGTAAACCAGACCGAGAAAAAAAATATGGGTATGCATTAGCTACTTTTATTTTTCTCTCTCTTTTATTTTTTTTATTTTACATATTGATCCCAGTTCCCTATCCCTCCATCTCACTCATGCTCCCTGATGCTCCTCTCATCCCATCCCACTACTCCACAGGGAGGGTGATGCTTTCTAGGAGGGATCACCAAAATCTGTCAAGTCATTTGGAGTAGGGACTTAGCCCTCCCTCCTGCCTATAGTCTAAGGGATTATCCCACCATGGGGAATGTGCTCCCAAAGTCCTTTCATGGACCAGGGGATACATCCTGGTTCCCACTGTCAAAGTTCCATTAGACTGCCAAGGCCTTCTAACTGAGACCCACGTTCAGGGGGTCTGAGTCAGTACAATGCTGGTTTCACAGCGATCAGTCTGGGAGTCCATGAGCTCTACCCTGTTCAGGTCACCTCTCTCTGTGGGTTTCTTTAGTCTGGTCTTGCCCCCATTTTCTTACCACTCCTCCCTCTCAGCAACTGGCTTCTAGGAGTTCAGCTCAGTGTTTAGCTGTGAGTGTCTGCTTCTGTTTCCATTTGCTACTAAATGAGGGCTCTATGATGATGGATAAGTTAGTTATCAATCTCATTATCCAGGGAAGGGCATTTAAGGTAGCCTTTCCACTGTTGCTCATATTGTTACTTGGTGTCATCCTTGTAGGTCTCTGAACTTTTCTCTAGAGTCAGTTTCCTCTTCAAACCTATAATGGCTACCTTTATTATGGTATCTATTTTTTTCTCTCTCTCAGTTATTCCTCCCCTGACTCAATCTTCCTGGTCCAACATGCTCTCCTCTCCTCCCATTCTCTTTCTCCTAACTCCCACTCCACTCACTGCATTATCTTCTAAGTAGATATTAGATATTGAATACGTGATAGCTAAGTTATAATCCCTAGATGCAGTAGTTAGTTAAAGTGGAAGCATTTAAGGCGCATGCATGGATGTTGTTGGGAATGGGAAGTGGAAACAGAATAGATTTTAAAGTAGACTTGGGATAATTGGGGACAGGATCAGGGGAATTGACTTGGGGAAATTGGGGACAGGATCAGGGGAATCAGGTATATGCAGGGGAACAAATGGAGGCAAAGTGTCCATGGAGAGTTGGCTGGAATTGGAGGCCATTTGAAGAGGATGATATAGAATCCCAGTACTGAAGAAACTTCCTGGAATGTATGAAAGTGATCCTAGTAACTCCTAGAAATGAGGCACATGGATTCTCAAATGGCCATTTCTTGTTGTCAGACATGGCTTCCAGTGGTAGCATTGAGTTACTTTCAGTTGAGTTGTTGGCCAAAGAGGTCTCTTGGAAATTATCAAACAATTCATGGTGTTTTCATTACAAGTATTGTTCTCTGCAACCTGACATCATGGCCCCATTACCAAGGGAGCACACCAACTTGGCCACAAAACTTTGATCTACAACCTGTTCTGCCTGAAAAATACACTAGGGCAATTGTCTGATTTGACTTCAGGCCCACTTCATGAGAAGGAACCCATACTAAACATTGCTTGGGTAACCAGAATCTAGAGACTAAGATATCCCAGAGACATAAGGCAAAAGCAAACACTAATGGTTAAAAAAATAGAAAAAGATAACCAATAAAATGACTCCTAATGACATTCTGCTATACTCATAGATAAGTGGCTTATCCAGTCAACATCAAAGAGGCTTCCTCTGGCAGCAGATGGGCACAGATGAGAGACTCAGTCAGACATTTTGTGAAGAGAGTGTTTAAATGAGAAATCTTAATTTAATCCCTTTCCTCAGAGATAAGGAAATCACATGGAAGAGAAGGGAAGAGGAGGCAAAGAATGTAAGAACCAGAGGGCAGAGAGAACACCATGAAAGCAAGGTCCTCTCTGTCAACTAAGCAAGGGGGACATGAGCTCACAGAGACTAAAGCTCCTCTATGTATATATTATAACTATTAACTTAATATTTTTATGAGACTTTTGATTATGAAACTCTGACTCTCGGGTCTCTTTTCCTCCTGTTGGTTTGCTGTGTCCCAATCTGATGTGATAATTTTGCTTCATATTAATATATTTTATTTTGTCATGTTAGTTGTTATCTCTCAGAAGCCTGTTTATTTCTAATGAGAGGCAGTAAGGGAATATATGCAAAGGGAACAGAGGTAGGGAGGAACTGGGAGATATAAGGAGAGGAGAAACTATACTCAAGAGAACTGTATGAAAAAGAAATCTATGTTCAATAAATGAGGATTAAAAATGAATTAACCAGAAAACAACAAGGAAATGTTCTCTGAGCAGTAAATTTAGTTCAGTATGACAAGGTATGGCATAAGTAATGTCAGGAAGACATTTCTGCCATACTGAGCAAGATTACCATTTATTTAAACTTGGTAACAGTATATTCCCATACTCGCCTACAAATCTTCCAGACGCTTGGCTTTCAGAAGTTTATAGAATGTATTTATATCTCCCAGGCATAGTTCACTTTTTCAGAGTTTGATCTGCAACTTGCCTATTCATTAATATTTGATGTAAGTTATTAAAATTGAATCAAGCACTACTACATGTTTGCTTACCTCCAATCAACACAAAATTACCTGCAATTGCAAAAATTTTAATGCTTCTTGATATGTGGCATACAAAATACATGGTCTTCACATACTCGTAGTATATATTCAAAGACAGTATTATACTCTCTACTCTACTTACTAGATCTCAATCTTGTTCTTTAACTGCTACTATAAATAACATTCTGGAAGTAAAGTTCTGGTCAAAATAGAATGGCTCATTTGTTTTATGTAAAGTCCTAAGAACAAACCTTGCCATATACACATAATGATAATATTTGTTTTTAATTTCTCAAGTTCTGAGATCATAATGTTTATTTAAAATTATCTGAATTCTAATGTTGAAATAATGTAAATCGTTCCAAGGTTGTCTTCACATACCACAGATGGTATATGAAAGTCATGAAATGTCTGCATTTTTGTTCAATGTAAAGCTTACGCAGTTTACATTTTTTTTCTGTAGATTTTGATGCTCATTATTTTAATTTTGTTTGAAAATTTCACACATGCATATAATGAGCATTAAATTCACTTCCAATTTACTCCAATCCTATTCCTCCCCAGTCCCTCACATTTGTTATTGTTTTCTCTTAAATAATTTGAACCAATACACATTTAATGATCTTATTCATTTCATACTTACTTTTCATGGTGTTAGAGTTATCATCTCTTAAAAATCCATCTTTACTTCCCACAGAATCAAATCTCACAAAGAGTGCATAGTCTTGCCTATGTGAAGGTCCAACGTCCTTTTTAACATCAACTACAAGCCTGTAAAAATCACAATTATTTTTAAAGCAAAGGTCACATTTTTTTTCACTTATCAATATAAATTATTGACCTAATCCATAAAAAAAAATCAATGCAAGCAGATGGAAAGGAATAAAAATACAACTGTTATTCATTTCCAAAATTTACTAACAAAAGAATATCTCAGAGCAAAAAGCTCAGGAGAATAAAACTGAATTAATACAAATATTTTGAAAACAAGACTAATGTATCCCAACTTGCCAAAAGTTACATCACATGTCACAGTGTCTATAATGTATTTTTCTTCTAGTCAGAATTCATTGTTAGCTAAGCACTCTGACTAGTCCCTATAGTAACCCATATTTTCCCTTGTTACATTTTCATTTTCTATATTGAAATAAACTCATATTTAACCACACTCAAGTTTCAGGTATTGAAGAAGTAATAAGAGAACATAATTTGATACGAGTCAGATCTTCTCAAGGAAGTATAATAGAAAGATGAAAACAAGAAGAAAATCAGAAACAAAGATATAGATAGGTTACAACATGGGCCTGGTCATTGACTATATTATCTTGCTTAGTTACAGATTAGCTCTTCAACCAGTGGAGATTGAAATACACAAAAATTGGATTTGTAATATTAAATTAGAACATATATGGTATGTTAAAAGACATATTTAAGAAGGACTGCAAATATTTGCACCTAAATTTACATACTAGACTCACAAATAGAGTGAAAATGTTGTCATAGGAAACAATATTTGGATCTCTTTAAAAGTACATATGGGTAGCGAAGGCTGGAGAGATGGCTCAACAGTTAAGAGGACCAAGGTTTGGTTCCTAGCACCCATATCAGGTGGCTCACAACAACCACTTATACACTCAGAGAAGCTACACATATGTACATACAAAATAGCATCATAATCTTGTATATGTAGACCATAATCTTATAGGTTTCCCAAAGAAACTTTCTATACAGAAATACAACTAAGATAATTTTTGATTATATGAGTAGGGCAATTATCGATTAGCTTTCTGCCTTTTGTTTCTGTTGACATGATAAAGCAACCAAAAATAGAAAGTTTTATTTTAGTTCAAAATTCCAGATCAGATTCCATTATATAAAGGAAATAAAGACAAAAATGTAAAGCATTCTAAGTGTAAATGTAGTCATATCATAGTGTATTATTCAGTAAGCTTTTTTGTTATTATTCTTATACAGCATAAGATCCTAAAACAGAGAATAGTGCCACCCATTTTCAGAATGGGTCTTTCTTTATCAGTTAAGGCACTCTCCTATATACATGGTCATAGTCCAACCTATTGTAGATAATCTAACATTGATTGAGATTCCCAAGTCATTCGAGGTTCTACCAAGTAGATAATTAAAACTAACCATAGCATCCTCTTAAATTAAAACAAAACTTCGCCTTTAAACATCTCATATTACTAAGTAACAATGTTGTGACTAAAGTACACTAAATAAGTCCCTCTCACAGAAGTAGCTTCTCACAGCTGGGTAAGTTATTTGCCCACAAACAGACTAAGATATTGTTGCATTGTTTACCATAAATTTAATATTTTCAAAAATATTTTCAGCATAAATAAAAGCACGTACAAAGACCTCTGAAATATACACTGCATGTATTTTGTTAAATACTGTGGGTTAACAGAAGCAGGTGCTGTTGGTTTAACTTTAATGGTATTCAGTCAGAATTTTGTTCTGGTAAGAGCATCACTTCCTATCTGGTGGAATCTATAAATACTACATGCACATCAATATTCTTGCAGCAAGTTCTGGGCTGTACAAATTAATTTATGCAATCTAAAACAGCTAAAACTTTAACTCCAACCCATTTCCAATCTGTGACATTTTTTTAATTAAAAAAAAAAACTATTGGATGCCATACTTATAAATATTGGAAATCTTAAACATGCTAGAAATATTTAGAAATGCATTTAGAAAAATCTAATTTTGTTTTCTAGCATGTTTTATTATGACATTAAATAAGTTAGTGTATAGAGACTATATATTTTCTTAATAATTGACATTACAATTGAATTCACTTTTGCTTACTTTGGGCTGAAACAAAATGTAATTACAATCTTTTGGTAAGGAAGTAAAGTCCCTTCATTGGGAACACAGGAGATAAAATCAGTCATATCTATTTTCTTTATTTTGTTTAAGTAGGGGAGATTGTTTAAGGCAATATCTGTCCTTTGATGAATATTTGCTCCCTGCAACATAAAATAAGACAAAAAAGCATATTAGGAGAAAGTGAACAACATATTTAAAAGGTTAAAGTAATTATTGCAAATTTAGAACCTAGAAAGTGAAGGGTTTTTATCTCTAAAGTAACATATACCTAAATATGACTAAGGCACATGATATGATTCAAAATTTGAGAATAGAAATATTCAGAGTAAGTCACTAATTTGCAAGAAGCAACCATCTGGTTTAATTTAGACATGATGTACCACTTAACGTTCTATTCACCTACCAGTTCTTCGCCAACACAATCATCTTGCATTATTGCAACCCAGTTTATGGTTTCAGGGCTGTTGTTAAACAGAAGTGCATGCTCAATTTTTGATGTTCCAAAGAAAACAGAACCAAATCGTATACATTCCAATTTCCTGTCACTATGCATGTTAAACAATTCGATTATCTGTTCAACCACATGAACTTTGATGTTCAAGAATGTATCAGGACGACCCTGCAAACTCACTCTGTTAAATAATAAAATATACATACATGTAAGTATTTTCATTATATATTTATATACATATATTTATTTTCCTCTAACTATTTGGATAAAGTGTTTTTTAAATGACATCATATCTAACTCAGCAAATGAAGATCAGCTCCTTTCATATACTGCTAGAGGTTATCAGGTTCCATGGTGTGCCTACATCTATAAAGTACATCTATACTCGAATCAATAATACTAGGATGGGGGGAACTAATGATGTGATCCCAGAAAGCACTAATGGAAAATCCATATCACTATCTCATAAATACAGAAGTTACATGATATAACATTAGCTCAAGAACTTCCAATCTCCATTCTAATTCATTGAAACCCAGGCCCAACCCAATCTCTCATCTACATCCAAATACCACAGTTCCCCAAATCAAAAAATATCTCAGAAAAATTCCAGACTAATTTCAGTTCTCATTTAGGACTCCTGTTACATATTTATTCCTTTCTGGCACAAATATAATCCCTTCAACTTAACCCAAACTGATATCACAAATAACTGGCTATCATCAAAACATTTATTTACAACATTTTCTATAATTATTGCCATTATCCATACCATATCTCAGCATATCTGTCCTTCCTCAGATTCCTGGACATCACATACTTTCCTGGGTTCTAACTCACTCATTCATGCTCTAACTTTTTATCCTAAGTCATAGATTCTCCATAAACTATTTACTTCTCCTCTCTTACTGTTTCATATTTCCCTCTTCTTTTCAGTGTAATTCTCACAACACATATACCCCTAATACCTTTACCAAAATTATCTAGACAAACCTGCTTTCTGGGGTTTAGAACATGTAAATCTAATAAGCCATAACCATATACTCCATGATGATTTTGAAAATGAAACCAGTCCTACCATGCCACATCAGAAGTTTCTTCTACACATTCCTTCTTCTTTTTTGCTCCTTCTTTCATTAACTCATCAAATTAATTAAATAGACACACTTCTCCTAGTTCTTCCAATTTGGGTCTTAATTCTGCCCTTTTCTATTTCTTTTTGACTTTGCTTTTATAATATCTAGTCAGATTGTCAAGTCCTTCTTGTATTGCCTGATCTGTTTCATTCGCTGCTGCTACTGTGACTTTCTAAAATGCAAACTGCTCCTCATGCTCACAGCTGTTTCTCAAATTCTACACCTGTAGCCTTCAATAAGAAATACATCTCATATGCAATTTACTAGCTCACACACATATAGGAGAAAAGATCTATGAAAAAATTCTAACAGAAGTTTTATAAAATAGCATCTATATTACTATGTAAAGCACACTCATATTTCCTACTTTATTACTTTATGTACAAGTGGTGACTCGGTGTCTTTACTGCACACCACATCTAAGAACGAAAGCAAGTCTCATTAAAAAAAAATGCTGCCCCAACACCCTTTACTGGATCATGTGTCATTCCTTTATTTTAGTCTCACCTTAGCATCAAGCTCTTGTAGTTCTTCGGCTCTATATTGCCTCTGATCCTTCAATAGGGAACACTGTTATCTCAAAGGTTTAAAATCTGACACATTCTTTGCCTGAAATTACTTACACAATCCAATATATCATCAACATCTATTGCCCCCCATACACACACACACACACACACACACACACACACACACACACACACATACCATTTATATCACTTCTATTTGCTACCTAGATTCTATTTAATTGTTTGTATGTGATTCAACTACCTATTTATTACTAGACTCCTTGGACCATTCAGACCATTCCCTTTAAGCCACAAAACTGAAACTAGGAGTTACTGATCCTCATATCTATATGCTGCTCAGCATTCACTTTCCATTGCTGAGCACTAGCTACACTTGTATGTCGTGCCACATAAGAATAACTAAATAAATAAATAGCAAATGAAAGAAAAAGGATCTGGTAAACAAAGAAGCAATCACTCTAAAACATGAAAAATGTAAATATTAAGTTCCATACAAACATTTCTCAAAAAAAACACAGTGTATTTACCTTGCCACTTCATTTACAAATTGAGACTGGTCTGCACAGAAATCCACTTTGAGGACCATTGATGACTTAGCCTTCACAGTACCACTACTTGGAGAAATGACAATAGGTAACTGACCCTGGTATTCTGTTTTAAATATACCTAAAGACAGTAAGAGATACAATTTATAACACATATTATACACATGTTTGATTGTGGAACAAATCTAACAGCTTTTATTCTGATTATATATACTGGCATCACCCAACAAATCTGAACCCAGTGTTAGAATTCAACCATCATCACTAGCTAAAAATATTATATAATCATTTTTGGAAAGTATTTATACTAAGAACACTATATATCCAAATACATGCTCTTCAATCCTTGTTATAAGCTATATGTTCAATTACTTATTTCCATTTACAAATAAGAAATCAGATACTTAGCTATCTTGATCTCAAAAGTATAAGCATGCAATGGATGCTTGAGAAAAATAAATTATTTGCCCAGGTTTATACAATTAGTAAATGAAGCAATTAAGTGTGAAACATGGCCAAATTTGCACTCAGAAAAGCAGTTATCTTTTACTCATTCTTTTCACTGACAAACTACACTAAATATTCCATTAAAATTAAATCCACATTTTAATTCAGAGAGCTTTTACATATAATACAACTATAATTTGTATAACGGGTAGACTAAAATAATACATTACTATTTTTAATCCCTAAAGGATTATAAATGAACAAGTTAAGACAGAAATTGGAGAGCAAAATAAAAAATTTTTAGTAATATACAATTACTCAGAAATATTACCAGTGTTCAGAATCAAATAACCTTAACCACTTGCCTTAAGTGACTCTATTATTTACATTAGAATCAAGCTGAAAAGGAACCTAATATTCTGTAAACCCCCAAACAATGAATATTGACCCATCAAATAATCAAATCACTGAAAACTAACTGAACAAATTTCAATCAGAAATTACTACCAGTTTGATTCTTGTATATTTTGTGAAGAAATATGTAATGGGATAGATTGTCTTTGTATTAATAATTCCCAATGTTCAAGCAAGCAGCTACAAAAGAAGAATCTAGTGGTAAAGTATTGGATTTATGATTTAATTATATATTTGACATACAGTCTCAGAGAGATGGTCACTCTCTAGTATTAGTCCTCATATTAGATTGGGAAAAACCACAATCTTGCAACGAATGTAGCTAACTATCACATCAAAAGAATGACAGATTATATATATCCCTTGTTGCAATCAATAAAAATGGTGCATGACAAAGGTTTGTGAAAACATCTAGGCATAAAAAAAATTCTAAAAATAATTGTCTGGATAAAAGTGTTTTTCCAGTGATAAATAATAAATTATTAAATGCCTTTTGTAAATCATGATGTGAATGCCAAGTTGAATATGACAAAGAGAAGAACTATTTCATGCTCATGATGAAACAGTATCAAAATTTTTTGCATATACCTAATTAACCATAATATACTACTCTCCTCATAAATTAAGAATCTAAAATTCAATTTCCTTAAAGATGTTTGTCTAGTTCAGTCTGGATGAGCATAAGAACAATATACTTCTAAAACACCCACCTACCTCCCATCTTCACAAAGATCGCCAGTCACATAACTAATAGGCTCTAATAATATGGATTACAAGAGGCATGTTCATTTTTCCTGAGTGATTGCATATCTATCCTTTGTAGTCACAACACTCCTGGTCCTTGGGTATTCAAATATTTCAAATGCTCAACACCATGACTTAGAAAATCTACTATACAATATGCAATTTAAAATTATAGCAAATCTTCTAAATTTGTGAGCTTATATGACACCAAACATTTACCTGGGGCTTTGCCATGGTTAATAATACTAATCTCTTTACAATGCACTTTACTATTGGCAACTAATGTGCCAAAATCAACTACTGGCACAATTTCCAATTGACAGGTTGGAATTAGCCTAAGAGAGAAAAGAAGCACACATTATGTTTAACAATAATAACATCTTCATAGTTATGTCCATAAAGGATACACTACACACACACAAACACACACACACTTTATATACATTTTAACCCTTTAAAAGACATTTCAGTTTATTTGCAGGGATATTGATAACACTGTTGTCAACAAGGAGTTATGAAATAACATGTAAGTATAATGCAACCTTTTTTACAAGGAAAGCAGACTTTATCATATAAGTATGATTTGACAAACTACTCATTTATCTCAATTTATTGTTACTCTAACATACATAAAATACCTTTTGAGAATTTACACAAATATTTTGAAACTGATCAAAAAGGAGGAAGTGACTTTAACACTTTGCCATAAACTATAATAAATGAAAAAAGCACTGACTGTATAACATAACATTTAGGGAGTGCTATAGCTACATTCTGTTGCTATGCTAAAAGGCTGACCAAAACCAGCTTAGGGAAGAAAATGTTTATTTGGCTTAAATATCCAGATCCCAGTCTTTCTCTGAGTATAGCCAGGGTAGGAGCTCAAGCAGGAGCAGAGGACTTAAGCACCGAGGCACTACTTATTAATTTGTTCCCTATAGCTTGCTTAGCTTGATTTGTTATACACCCCAGAACAATCTGGTCTAGAAAGGCACTTCCCACACTGGACTAGGCTCTCCCACACAAATCATTAATCAAAATGTCCCCACAGATTTGACTACTGAAGAATAAAGAGATAATAACCTCAATTGAGGTTCTCTCTTCCTAGGGGGCTCTACCTTGTATCAAGATGACAAAAATGAACAAGCCCAAAGTATAAAAAGAGATTTGTGTACAAAAAAGACATTTGATTCGCTACATGTGTCTATCATTTAATGTGTTCAATGCAGTATATAAGTAGTGTGTATTTTCAGACATGTTTCAAAATTCATTGACACATAAGAACAAATCTCATGACATACTTACTTCATATTAAGATTGTAAGCTCTACTTTATAGAATTCTCTTAATTGTATTAGTACAATTTAATAATAACAAAACTGGTACAAGACAGAGATGTGAAGATTACATACCCAATCAGAGGAATCTCTAGTACTTTATTTCCTACAGAAATATACATGTGATCAAACATGTCTTCATTTTTATCAGGATGATATTCTACCATTGCTGTCATTTGAAGGCCAGAAGCAAGTTCCTTATCCAGACTGGTCAACAACAGTTTGAACTGAAGTAGAAAACACATAAAATCAGCACTATTAGTTCTTTATAAGGAAATATTATGAGAAACTGTAGTTAGGGAGTATGTATTATTATCAAGGACAAGTTTTATTCCCACCTAAGAGGAAAAAATGTTTTTCAGCTTTAAAGTGATAAATAACAAATGTACATATTTATGGGTTATGATGACTAGGCCTGTACTAAAATGCCCCTTATAGTTTCTAGTCCTATGAGAGTAGACATATGTCTGACACAAAACTTCCCACTAATGTCTTAACTAGTAATCCCTAAAGGAATCAGGAAATTTACTTTTAAATGGCAATTAAAAAAAAAAAAAAAACACCGCAAAAAAGGTCTCCTAGGATTCTAAGAAAACTTTACAATCATGAAGACATGGTGCATGAAATTGGAATTCTTAGAAGTAGATGGTAACCATCATTGTATGTATAATGCTTCATAAATGTAATTTTCTATTAACTAAAAATAAAAACAAGAACAAGGCCTTTCTTCTTTCCAAACACAATATGAAGAAATATTCTCTATCAGCTTTGCCTTAATCATGCTCCCTACTTCAAACAAAGGGTTCTTTCTACAAGCCTTATCTCCCTTCTGCCTTTCCTATTTCCACCTCTCTCAACTTTATCTACCTCCCTTCTCCTCTTTTCCCCCTCCCTCTCTCACTTCCCTCCTTATTTCCATCATCTGCCCCCTCCCTCAATTCCTTAATCTTCCTTCCTCCCTCTCCTTCCCTTTCTCCCCCATTTCCTCTTCTTTCTCCCTCCTTCCATCCCTCTCTTCTTCCCTCTCTCTTTCAGTTTCCTCTCTCCCTGTCTCTATCCTTCTCCTCCATTCCTTCCCTTCCTCCCTCTCCTCTTCTTCCCCTTCAGACACTACTTTCTCCTCCCACCCCTCCCCTCTTGTGTTATCTTCCCAGGCCCAGTGACTACAGTTCAGCAAACACAATGGTTCCCCAAATTCCTTAGGAGCCTATATCTTGGTCTTTGTGCCAAAAGGATACTCAAGTGCAGGGGCTACCCAGGAGCTTTGACCTGTGGCTTTGTGGGCTCTTGAAACCTCATCTTCTGATTCCAGCGGCCCAGGTTATGTACTATAAGCGGGAGTCTGTACACTTTCCCAGAAACTGCATCCAGGAACCTCAGCTCCGAAGGGATTACCCTCAGTTGAACTTCCTTCTTGGGACCATCCACATCCCTAGGAGCTAGTGAGCCCCGCTCTGTGTCCATCGCAGCCGCTAGACAGCCCGCAGCCTGGAGCAGACTTGACCAACTCCCGGCTGGCTAGGGACAACAGATGTAGCTAGGAGACGAGCTCTAGGAAACCATTGTTGGGACTCCGCGTGAGCTCTGGCCCTCCCCCTACCTCAGGCTCCAGCATTCCTCACGTACTTGCCCCGCCCTGACCACGCCCCACACGCGTTGGCTTTGCATTCTAACCTCACCCTGCTCCCAAACGTCCTCTGCCACTCCCAGCCCGTGCTCTGAGGCTCGCCCCTGCTCAGTAGCCCTGTCCTCAATAGCACTGCCCAAGTTTTTGAGGTGGCAGCTGGAACAGCATGTTTCTGTAGAAACAGACAACTGGTTGGCAAGTGTCAACAAAATAACTGGAAAATACTTTATATCAGCCTCAAATGCAAAATCAGCTGCTGTTGGCATAGCCAGGATCTCAAAAAGGCACTTGATGCAGTGGACTCTTTTCTGGTTCCTGCTTCAGAGCAAGCTTAGTGAAAAAGATAATATCTGGGTCTATTAAGGCAACCAGATTTGACAGAAATTAAGGATTGCAATAAGGATAACAACGTCAGTGACGTTTAGGCCAGCATTTCTGTGTTTTCTATTAATACAAAACTATTGGGAGCAGGGCGGTGGTGGCACAGGGCTGGGGAGGAAGTGGCAGTCGAATCTGTGCTTTCGAAACCAGCCTGGTCTCTAAGAGCTAGTTCCAGGACAAGCTTCAAAGCTACATGGAGACTTTGTCTCGAAAAACACCAATCCCCCCCATACAACCTATTGGATTATTATAAAATCACAAAAATGTGTCAATAGAGACAACAAAATAACTTAATAAATTCTTCGTGACTTTAATAAAAATACATTAATTTTTTTCTGTTTTCCCCAGTGCTAGAGAACAAATCCAATGCCTTGAGCACACAAGCACTAAACTACACCTTCAAATCCTATGTCATTAAATTTAAAAGAAATTAAATACATATGTATAACATAAAAGCAACCCTGTGGTTTATTTTTGGGTACAGATACTAGTTCATCATGTCTGAAGCATTTCCTAAGAATCTTTCAAGTTCACATAGGTCTCCAATGCTGTTGGTCGAGGGACTGTCCCCTGTTTATAAAGGCTTTAGAATTTCTTTAGCTATCTGAATATTAACTTTTAAAGTTGTTGCTTAAGGTATGCCAATGAAGCATCTGCATTGTTAGATGACTTTTCACACACGCACAGCATTACTTTGCTCTGTCTCCCTCTTGTTTTTTTTTTTTTCCATTTTCTCTTTCCTACCGGACTTTCAGTCTGACAGCTAAAGAATTCCGAGTAACATTTCATACCTTTTAAAAAGCCTGCATCTGACCATTTTTGCAAGACTCCTACAGTACCAAGATCATAAATAGTTTATTTACCAAAAAGATAGAGAGATTAATAAGTAGCCCTAGATATAAAGTCAACTTGTCAGTTTATTGGAATTGTTGTTGACAGATGAAACAAGACTGAAAAGGGTTGGTTATCATTTGCAAATCTTCAGAAAATCTGTTTTTAGTTTTTAAGTTGGAGATTTGAATCACCTGTGAATATTTTTAGAACACATTACAAAGAGTGTCTAGATCCCTGTGTCCAAGCCAAATTTGCTCAGCACTCCTGAAAGGCTCATAGTTTGAGTAAATGCAAATCACAGTTCCTGTACAAACCCCTAAGCAAACTCTAAAACAATTGGAAACAACAAAAGGGTATCAAAATTTCCTTTGGCACATATTTTTAAAAGAATGACTGAAGTCTGTACTGTGTAGCATCTCTTTAGACAGTTTTTTTAACTAAGTGTGGAACTCAGAAATGTATGCAGTAAGATGTAACACCAGGGAGAAAACAATGGTTAAATTATCTACTCCTGCTTTGATTTGTGCACATATCTGTAAGATCTATGATACACATACATACATATACATGACCCAGGGATATTGAGTTGATATGATGCTTTATGGGTATGTGCTGAGAAATAATTTTGACAAATTTAGACAATTGGTGTTTCTTGGAATAAGAAGAGGAGATATTAAAATAAATTAATTTTAAGCACATAGAAACAAACAGAATTATTAATTACTTAGAAAAATAGAAAGTTGTTCATAAAAATAACAAAAAGCTCTTATTTCATTTGTCAGTGAATATCATTTCTCCTGAGTGATTCTCATCTAAACACAAAATGTTGATCCAAGTAAAAGCATTATATGACTACAATGTTAGGTGGCAAAATGTAACTATGTATTTGGTTGGTGAGAAAACACTGATTACCCCAGGTTTTGGTTCAAGCAGGTCTGGAATTTGTGATCCTCATGCCTTAGCCTTATAAGCAGTGTTGTTTATTAGGTCTGAATCACCAGACTCTATTCATATGTAGTGAGAACTTAAATTTTCACAACCACTCTGAAAAAGAGTTTTTAAAATGTTTGTTAAGGTGATCACATAATTAGCAGTCAATTCACAAGTTGTATTAATGTTCATTCTTTGTAGAGAAACACAAACTTATTTGCACAAAAACCTTGAGTGTTGCAAATATGAATTTTATTCTCAATAATGAAATCATGAAACAATCCAGTGCAGATCACTCAGCTATGAATAAATAATCTGCAACACATCCATGCTTAAAATAATATTTCACAATAAGAATTAATGATAGATGTTAAAGTTCTGGTGACTCTGAGTATTATAAAGAATGGAGCTGTAACAGGCTCCCATACCTTAGTAGGCCCAGAGATCTTAACATAACTGACTCTACAATGTAAGTACCATTCAGCCTGTGAAACTCAGAGCATAGACAGTACCACCCACCAAAACTAAACCAAAGGCCTAATCCATCGAAATCCATACTTCTAGAAAAGTCTCTAAATGTACTAACCTTGCTTTTTGGTTTCTGTAGTTCTGTTTCAGGTTAACTCTTCTTGTTGCCTAACGTACGTCAACCTAGTACATGGTGTTTGTACTTAAAATTCACCCAGAGAAAGGACTGGGGCTACAGTGAACTCCTAAGCACTCAGGAAGTCACCATCTGGCAAATAAAGACGTTCTATTGGCTTAAACCCATGGTCTAGCAGTATTTTCTGGTGAATACCCTACAACATTTCTGGAGGTCCCACCAAGATCCCAGAGACCAGATCTTGAGACATGTGTGTTTGTGTCTGTGGGGGAAGGGATGTTCAGCACAATGTGAAATAGTCTAGGTCTTTGAACAATCCCTGCCTAACACTTCAGATGGGTCTGACGTCTTCACCCCAAAAGGTAATGAAAAAGAAAGTCAACTTTGGAGGTAAGTCTGGTTAAGGGGCATTCTGTTTGGATACATAGGACACATGACTGATCTGTGTGAGATGTCACTGGATTCCCCTGTCTATTTAAGTATATGAATGTGTTGTGACCTCCCCCCTAACTCTGTGTGTGTGTGTGTGTGTTTCAGAATGTCTTTCTATGTGTTTCTGTCAGTTTTGTTTCCCTATGTGTTTCTCTAATATGATACCTCTGTACCCCAGATTAAGATATAGTCTCCTCCTGTTGGGGACATGAATCCTTTTGACTCCACCAGAGACATCAAAAATACTTCCAATAGTTCCAATCCAGGAACACTTCCTTGTTGGGTTGGTTGACCTAGGCTTGTCCCTGTGTGGAGGTGGGCAGGGGCTAGCCTCTCATCCAGAGGCTCCCTACCATCTAAGCAGAATGCATACAAGGATGGGAAAAAGTGGCCCCAGGTGAGAATTCCTTCTGCTATGCCTGTTCTGAGCAGCCCCTGGAAGGAGGAAAGTTCCCCCAGTGTTTAGCACAAAGCAAAAGAGAAAATTCAACTCCTTTCTCTTTTGTTTTAATGTCTCCTTTTTAAACTGTGATCTATAAAACACCATTCTCTAGGGGTGGGAGGGAGTAGAAAAACAGTGCATGAACAGGGCAGGAAGAATCCATGCCAGGCAACAGAGCTTCAAAAGAGAGGATTTTCCCTTCTGCCGGACACTGACCAAGATAGATACTTTTTTAGAAAGATTAAAGATATCTGATAAAAAGATTTCCTTTGCCACACAGTTGGCCATAGCTTTAAAAAAACAAGAAGAAAAGAAAAAGTTTGAAAAATTTAAAGGTATAAGTAGATCCCAGTTACTAGAGGCAGCTCAAAGGGTGTTTAACAACAAACAATTGATTAGGACAAGAGCTTTTACATAAACTGAAAGCCACTGTTACATTCTCTGATGATGAGACACAGACTTATAGATACACAGCAAAATTTTGGTGCTTTACCCTCCATTAGAAAAATATCTCCTAGCTGCAATTTCTCCCTCTAATCAAAAGGTGTTTGGACTATCTCTTAGATGGACAATAAAGATTTCTATGGGTATGAGCAAAAACCAACCCCCAGGACTGGCCCTACACCAAACTTCTACAGATGTTCAACTAAGAAGTTTAGCTATCTCCATCCAGATTAAGCAAGACACAATGACCCTGTAAATAAAGGGGAAGATTGTAATTGATAATGTCTGTCTTGAAGAGAAAAGTTTCCTGGTGCCCTGCAAGGCACTCTGAAATACAGCTCTCTTGCCTATAAAGAAACCTGTAACCTATGATTCTCAGGAGCCTGATTCTTTAAGAGAAACAGATGCATTCTGTCTTTGACATGAAAGATGCATTCTTCAGGCTCCTACTGGCAGAGGTGAGTCAACCCATCTTTACTTTTAAATGGGAGGTTACAGAGGGCAGCATTCCTGGAGCAGGTTACACCATGATTTAAAGACACTAAATGCAAACCTCCTGCCCTTCTGTCAGAGGTTTCATGGTAAAGCAGATTATAAGAGAGCTACAGAGGGACTACTGCAAGAAATTCAGTCTGTGGGCTACAGAATATCAGAAAAGAAAGGCCAACTTTGTAGAAGGCTACCTATCTTGGCTACCAGCTAAGGGGAGGCAAAAGCAACCTGTCTCAGAGTAGAATCACTGCCATCCTTCAGATCTTAACCCAAAAGACTAAGAGACAGGTTCAAGAGTCCCTAATTGCAGCTGGATATTGCTGCCTCTGGATATCAGCGTTTGTGGAAATAGCACCAAAGGAGAGCATCAAACCCTAATCTGAATT